ATATATATATATATATATATATATATATATATATATATATATATATATTTATCGAAACTAATGTCCACATTAAAAGAACATTTATTATAATAAAAAAAATTTTTTTACTCGTAAAAATGATTTGTTTTAATACATCCAAAATAAATATTTACTTAAAGGAAATATATATATTTTCCATTGATTTAAAAAATAATTATTAATATAAAAATACCGATTTATTTTAATAAAATAAAAAGTGATTCATTTAAATTGTATTTCTATAGGAAACAATGAAATATTTATTTCAACACACAAGTTTTATATTTATATTTAAAATATTGATCTGTTCCTGTTATCTATATTTGTTGACCTGTTAACAATTTATTTGTCATCATAGTGGAAATGACTTGGATACGAGAAATTTACTAAGATAGTTAAATAACTAGCAAACATTGCGATGTTCTATATTTAATCAATATAGATAACAGGAACAGAATCAATATAGATAACAGGAACAAATCATTATAGATAACAGTATAGATAACAATATAGATAATAGGAACAGATCAATATTTTAAATATAAATATAAAACAAATTGTTCAAATATCTTATTATTATTTTGTTCTGTTAACAATATTTATATTTAAAAAATTAATTTTTCTCTTTCAAAGAAATAATTTATTATTTTCGATGTTTTAACATCTAAAAAAATATATTTACTCTTGAGTTAAACATTTATTATTAACAATTTTATCCAAACCGCCATCTTTTTTTCTTGAAAAGTGACTTGTCAGCTCTGCCTGATAAATAGAAAAAATATTAGAAAATAATGACGAATATTTCGAACATTAAAATGCTTATTATTTTTGTTGTGAATAAAAGCTCAATTTTAATTATTGCATACTTAACAATTTATTATTTATTATAATTCTTTTATTTATTTTGATAGGTATTGTTGTTTGTTATAATTATTTGTTTGTTTTAATAATAGTGTTTTCTACAAAAACTAAATAATACTTCATATCATGTAATAATTCCTATGTAACTTTGAGGACTTATTTTACGTTCAAAATAAATTCCTGCTTGGTTGTTTAGCTTCAAATTCATCCACTATGTCTATCACATGATCGTATAAAATACTTCTCGCGTCGATGGCCCATAAGAAATCGAAATGGGTGAACAATTTATATGGAATTTCCTCAAACAGAATAATGTTGGGCAATCGCTTGTATATTTCTAGGACATTCTAAAAAAAAATAATTTTATAGATAAAATAAATTAATGGCTGAAACGATAGATATAATATTTTTATCATAATTATAAGAACAACACATGACAACGAGACGTACGTTTCATTCGAAAAGAGAATAAATACAAATATATATATATAATATATATAAGATTTTTTCATAGGATAAACTCGGGTATTATATCATACCGGAAAGATGGCTATAGACTGTAATTTCTCTAATAATTGCAAAACATTGCGTTTGTATAATCAGTCACAAAGATAATCGATATAGTTATTTATCGTAGTGTATATGCATACATTTTTCGAAATAACAAGGTTATAATTATTATACTATATTTTTACTTTCGACTATATTTTTACTTTCGACTACTTGTAAAATTTCTCATGTGTCCACTAAAACTTGCTGTAACGTCGAATAAATTACAGTTAATTGCAACCAACGTTAGATACATAAAGTAGGTATGTAAATTGTAATATAACATGCATTTTTATTTTCGTTTTTACTATTTGTTTATAAGTACTATTATAATTGTTTTTCATACACATTTTGGGTTAGATGGCCCACTATTATTCTAATATTTATAAAACGAAAGTCGTCATATTTCAAAAATTACTTTCAATATTACAGTAATTAAATCTTATGTGCAATATGTTTTGATCAAAAATTGAATTTAGAATTTAAGTTTTGTAATAGGGATTTCTATTTTATATGTGTATTATATTTTTCATAAATAATATGTATTAAATATCCTAAAATACCTAATATTAAATATACTAAAATGAATATGTCAAACTATGTTTTTTTCATTATTTTATAAAATAATAGATACATAATCTTGAACATAAAATATGTATGGATCATCTATTCCTTATGGCCATCTTGTCTTAAACATTTAGATAAGATGGCCAATGCTTATGTTTTGATATTTTTATAATAAATAATTTCACTGAAGTATTTTCCTTTTAATTCCGATAGTATTATGTACTGTAGGCTTCAGTGAAGTAATGTGCTAAACACTATTAAGAAATGTATTTTTAACAATAAGAAATGTATTTTTTGCATTTTAAAAAATTATGGTCATCTTATCCGAGTTTACCCTATAATTTTGAGTAAAATGTTTTTATTTTAAATGTTGAAATAAAAGTATGCATTTACCGATTTCGTGGCAAGCGCGTCGTTGGCTCCATAAATTAAAGCTAATGGTGCAGTAATTTTTTCAACTTCATATGGTTTAGACATTATGTATCTGTGATTATGGGGATACCCAGGATCGCGTTCTCGAAAATCGTCTGAAAAAAATTGACATTAATAAAGAGAAAAAAGACACCAAAGAAACATTCGAAAAGAATGCAAAATAATTATATGCCAATATAATTATAGTAAGAAGAATTTTACTTATAATAATATTTTGAACATAATGATCCAGTGACAATACAGAAGCACTGGTTGGATAATAGGTAAGTATCTCCGGTATTGCTGTCTGCAAAAATAATTAAAATATATAACAAATAGGATATTTTATTCGATGTATCTCTATAAACGCATGCATGCGTAATGTCAAATTAAAATAATATAACTCACGATGTTAACTTGCTGCGGATCGGATCCTGCGAATAAGAACATTAATGCGATACAAATAGCTTGTACTTCCGACTTTTCTGAGCAAAATACTTCTTTTCTTGCAATAGATTTCGCCGATAAAGCAAATATCTCATGCACTTCGTTGTTGTTAAGTAATTTCTGACAAAATAAGAGAAACGTAAAAAATTTAAAATAATATCATTATTAATAAAGTATGTTAGTTCTAAGTTTTTATTAAATGTGTCGATCTAACATATGTGTGTAATATACCCACACTCGTGATAATATACAACTCGTGATAATATAAAAATATTTTTAAAAATCACTTTTTATTGTTACCGTTAACTTTAGCCAGTTATTAACAATCTGTTGCATAAAAGGAGATACTTCATTCCAAAAGGCAATTGGAGCGAGACATACTCCTAATTTTATTTTTGTGTTATATTCGGGTCTCGTAGATAAAAGGACGTACAACATAGTAGTTCCCATAGAATGACCGATATAGTATAGCTTTTCCTTTCCGGTGTAATTAAGTGCATAATCGATCATATTTGGCAGGTCTATCGTCGCTATCTCATGATAACTAGATAACACAAATAAATATTATATTTTTTTCGTTCCTTCCTTACATTAAATGCATTAAAATTACTTTCCTATTGGACACTTCCAACAAAATAACAAATAGCAACTATAGCTATCACTAAATATATTATAAACTCTTTTTTATGCTATTGTGATTATGCTGGAGAAACATCAAACATTTTTTTTCAAAATTATGTTTCCGTGTATAAAATATTCTACCTAAATTGCCAGAAATCAGCATTTCGAGGAGACATCTTCACGTGCGATCTAGAGTACGTATTCCCTCTGATATTTCCAAGCCACACATCGTATCCTCGATCAGCCAAAAGAAACGCTATAACATCGTATGTGTCCAATATTATGTCAATAATACAAACAATAGTTCGCAAAATGCGAGGAAGGTATCAAATATACTTTCTTAACCAAAAAAGTACGAAACGTATTATCGGACTAAACTATTGCGTTTGTATGTTTGTGTGCCTGATGCACAGATATTATATAATATTATTATATTATATTATTATATAATATAATATTATATTATATAATATAATATTATATTATATAATATTATATAATATTATTATATTATATTATTATATTACATAGCTGTTTCGATCAAAATTAAAATCTCAGTATCTTTCATTTTTTTAAATTTGATCGATAAAATTTTGATAAACTAATTGACTTGTCACACAATCCGCATATCTAAAAGACGTCTTAAAGACGTCTTATGTAATACATCTTTATGACGTTACCAAAAGTCGTCTAAAAGACGTTTTATTTCAAATATATTTAAGACATTATCAAGAAACGTTATTAAAATAACTTCTTAAATTTAATAAAATTAATTTTTCGTCTTAAATTAATATTTTTAAAATAATGTCTTAAATCGAGACATAAGACGTCTTCATGATAACTTTTTGAGACGTCTAAAATATTTTAATCTAAAATATTTTAAGACTTTTAAAAGTCTTTAAGACGTTATGTTATTATGTGGATTATTTTTCCTTTGGCCTTAATTTCTTAATTTTGTATCTCTTATTTCTTATCTCTTATTATATATCAAGAAAAAGATCATTCTATATTTATGGAATATCACGATCTTTGAAAATAACTATTCCAATTATTTCAATTAATGTTTACTTACGTAAAAGAACTTTTCAAATATATGTATGTTTGGGACTAGTTGGGATAGTTTCATGAAAATTAAAAGATGAACATTTTTGCAAATACCATTTTTTTTATGAGATACTTGTTAAGACACTTTATCATATGAGTTACAAAATTTTTTCAAGCGAGGTTAATCTCGGTGTCAAAGTGAACATGTCAAACAGCAGCTTGATAGTTATAATCTGTTTTAATTCGATCTTTATAATTCAGTAAACAGATATCGTGCAATGAAACGGATACTTTTAAATATTTTAAAAAATTATAAAAGAGTAGATCATTACTATTATATATTAACAAGTATCAAGTATTATGTATTAACAAATATGTATGTAACAAAGAATTATAATAAAAGCAGAAAAAAATAATCGTAACTACGATAAATAAATATAACACGCGTGTATCCTTGGCAAATATATTTCTTATACTATCCCTGCTTAAAATATTTTATAGAAAATGATTGGATAAGATTGAAATGGATAGAATTCCTATATTCATTTATACAACTTATCATGCACCGAAGCTGTACAACATAGACTTTCTATATATTTTAATCATATTTTATGATACTATTCTTTTCGATCATTTTGAATATTGATGTTTGTATAATAAATTGATATTTCTGAATTATAGTAAATATTGCGTTCTGTATTTATTATTTTTTTATAATAAACTACTTATAATATTTTTTCATAATAATTCTACTTATAATGATGGTTACAAAATGGTCATAAAAATGAAAAGAATATCTATGTAGTTTAATCATATCTTATGACATTACTCTTTCCCATCATGTTGAATATAAAAGTTGGTATAATCAGTTTATATTTATCAATTATAGATAATACATGGTATATGAGTTCACTTACGAAATTTCACAAATAAGTTGTGAAATATATGAATCACCATAAAATATGATAGACAAATTTTCTATCATTTTCTATCCAACATTTTAAGCAAGCATATTAGTGATTTTTTAATGAGCGTGATTAAATTTATTAAATATACTTCACTATATATTATGCATTATGAATTTGTATTTGCATCTGGTGAATATTCAAATTTTCAGAAAACTTCTTCAAACCTGTTTCAAATAGTTTTCCTACTGAAAAATTTCCTAAAGAAGTATGTTACAATATTGCAGATTCATGAAAAACATGACACCAACTCGGAAACCAGACTAAGCAGTTTTCATAAACATACAAATTAGCATTCGCTATCAAACTTGTCATTAACAGACACTGTCATACAGTCGACATTATCAGAAACAACCAGTTCCATACTTAATTAGCATTTCTTAGCGATGTTATTACATAAATATCTTTAGTTTCAATGACTAGCCATTTAAATATCTTTAGTTTCAATGACTAGTTATTTCAATGACTTACCAAGATCTTTGTCAGGACCATGCAGTACCCAACTGTCGGATGAAGAAATAAAGCCGTGTTGCATAAATACAATTTCCTTGTTTTGTTTGTTATTAGACAGTGGACTACAGGGTATTCTATGTATCTTCAAGTTGTAACCGTCCTCTGTTCTAACATAGTGCTCCTCGGCAGGGTATCCATATCTCGTTATCAAACCGATCTGCGAAATCGTACAGTTATAATAAAATATTGTCAGAATAGAGTCGAGATCTCTTTTTTTATATAACTATGAATTAATATCTACGTGCTTATTTCGCATGAATATTATATGATAACGCAAAATGCGCGTTTGTCGTATCAATAATATTCTTCCATCTGAAAAATCAGTTTCTTCTAATCAGATGCCGTTGTTACGGAGATTGTCCTAAAGAGGCGAAAAATTCGATGAGAAATAATCTTACTTACAAAATCCAGTATTTTCACGCCTTGTCCTTTTTTAGTTTCTTCCAAAGTTCTTACTCTCACTATTTCGAGATCCTTAGGAAATAAATAATCGAACAATGCTCTCGAAAACAATGCGTTGTCCAGTAACTTCAACTCTGCACTCGATAACGCCATAATAAGCATAATTGCAAATTTCATATTTATCCTCGTCATTTTGTCAATGCTTTAGACTGCACGTTGTAGTGCAAACGTAATTTTCGATGTTAACAAGGATTTTGAGTTCTTACGAAAGCAATTCTTCTTTATATCTCACTAAACCTATATGACAAGATAAGTATGTATTAGTTAGATTTTATTTATTTAATGACTAATTATTTTTAAGAACTATAATAACTAATTAATTTTAAGATAACTATAATAATACCACAATAATAAAAATTCTACATTTTACATTACTTATATTTACGATCTGATCAGGAATTTTTGCAGCAAACTATGTAGGGAGTCATGCTCTATATATATGTATATATATATATATATATATATATATATATATATATATATATATATATGGACCTTGAATAAGTTCTCGCTGTTTTCCAACATATGACGTTATCAGAACTGTGTGCGTGTAGTTTAAGATGGTAACGCATCTATAAGAAAGTACTATAAACAAGCTTGAAATTCATATGTCATTTCGCCGAAGTGTAAACAACTTTTTTTTCATAGTGTTAAACATGTCGAGTTTCGTGCCAAAAAAAGAGTATTTGCGGGGAATTTTACGGCACTACTTTATTTAAAAAAAATCTACAGCTGAAGCACACAGAATTCTTGTTGAGACTTACGGCGACCATGCTCTGTCGGAAACAACATGAAGAGATTGGTTTAGACGCTTCAAAAATAATGATTTTGATGTTGAAGATAAAGAACGCTCTGGCGCACCGAAAAAGTTTGAAGACGAAGAATTGGAGACATTACTTCATGAAGACTCATGTCAGACGCTAGCTGAACTTGCAGAATCATTAGGAGTTGATCACACAACAGTTTCGAAACGTTTGAAAGTATTAAGAATGATTCAAAAGCAAAGACATTGCCGTACGAGTTGAAGCCGAGAAACGTCGAACGGCGTCTTTTCACGTGTGAACAGCTGCTTCAATGGCAGAAAAGGAAAAGTTTTTTGCATCGTATCGTGACTGGCGATGAAAAGTGGATACACTACGATAACCCTAAGCGTAGAAGATCGTGAGGTAAGCCCAGCCATGCATCAACATCGTCGGCAAAGCCGAATATCCATGGTTCGAAGCTTCTGCTCTGTATTTGGTAGGATCAGCTGGGTGTAGTTTATTATGAGTTGCTCAAACCGAACGAAACCATTACGGGAGATGGCTATCGACTACAATTGATGCGTTTGAGCCGAACATTGAAGGAAAAACGGCCGCTATACGAGCAGAGACACGATAAAGTGATTGTGCAACATGACAACGCTCGGCCACATGTTGCACAACCGGTGAAAACCTACTTGGAATCGCTTAAATGGAAAATCCTACCCCACCCGCCGTATTCACCAAACATTGCCCCTTCCGATTATCACTTATTCCGATCGATGGCATATGGCCTGGCTGAGCAGCACTTCCATTCTTATGAAGATGCCAAAAAATGGGTCGACTTTTGGATAGCCTCAAAAGACGTGTCATTTTTCCGACGTAGAATTCAAATGCTGCCAGAAAGATGGGAAAAAGTAGTGGCTAGCGATGGACAATACTTTCAGTGACATGTTTTTTACGACTTTTTTAAAATAAATAAAATTTTCACGAAAAATCAGCAAGAACTTATTCAAAGTCCTAACAGATTATTATAATTATGCAATAGCTATAGAGGTCTAAGAAAAATTATAAATTCGAGTCCACTCGCGTAATTTTAATTCAAGTGTTCCACATAGCGCGTTAGATAAGTTAGAAGAATTGTGAGTGCCGATTACTTTCAAACCTAAAATTAGAACTTTAGTTAAACTAGTTTGTAACATGCAATTAGTATTTCCTCACTGTATCATTAGAAAACTTTAATTAAACTGGTTTGTAATATGCAGTTAGTATTTCCTCACTGTATCATTAGAAAATTTTAATTGTTAAAAAGGAATTATGTGAATGTGAGCTACTTAAATTGACAGTTCGGACGTTTCGCAATTTATACAATTTATCGGTTTCACTCTTTCTATTAAAAATATACACATTAATAATTCAAATAAGGAAACTCGTTGGTTCTCTATCATTTTTTTGCTATTTCCAGTTTCTTGGTTAAATGCGCAGATTGATTCCACACAACGCAACGTCTAAAATCGGGACATAAAAAAATTTAAAAAGACATCTTAAAAACGTCTCTCAGATGTTGAAATATAAGACGTCTAATGTCTCGATTTTAAACGTAGTGTTGTGTGAGACAGATTGAGTTTAACATTGGGTTAACTAGACTGATTACTGGTTGTCGAATTTAATATTAACTTATAGATTGTATTGAACATACCTGTTTTGCTGACGAAGTAAGAGTGGTAGAATGAAACTTCTTCGAAGAACTATATTGTACTTGCACGTGATCGATTACCATAATAAGATATTATATCAATGCACGTACGCACATATATTATACACACAAGAGAATACACATATGTACAGTAAGATGTTACATAATTGTATGATAAAGTTTTATAAATTAATGCAATTAGCACAAAAATGTCAGGTAAGTGAAAAATATCAACGATATCAACTCAGATAATATAGAGAATTAAAAAAGAATTCAGTCGTATGTCACAAATTCTGAGTTTATTTTTAAGTGCAAAAAAAATTCTTTTCATTGAACTGAACTCTGAAAAATTATTTTTGTATCTGAAAATGAACTCAAAATTGGTGACATACGACTAAATTCTTTTCGGATTCTTTTTTAATTCTCTGTACTCTCTAAAAACATATTAAAACTATTGTTAATATTTTCTTAAAAATCCTATCTTTAGGTTTTATCTTTAGATCTTATCTTTAGATCTGTAAAAAATATAATCTGGTTGGATATTACCAATAAAATAAAAAAGAAATGTTCTTTGATTATTGTTTAAGAAGATATTTTAATTCACAAGATTCATATTTTTAATTTTATTTTATTGTTTCCTATTTATTTGAGGAGAAACAAAATAATTCATATTTTAGTATTAAATTATAGAAATAAATTTTTAAAAATCGGAAGAAAGGAAATCTAAATTTTGTTTTTATTTATCATTGACGTTTACGCATTTTGCATTTATTAATTTTTTTATATTGCTGTACTTACATTCATTTAACTAGATAGCCCAAGTATATGGTTGAAAACTGGTTGAAACAGAAGAAAACAAAATAATCTGTTTAAATTACTCTTAAATATAACACTGATACACATCACAATCAAGGATAGGTCACGTATTTTGCAAGCAAAGCAAAGATTGTATATATCTTGAGAGAAACGTTCCCTGATAGCACAGAGAATTAAAAAAGAATTAAAAAAGAATTCAATCGATGTCAAAAAGATGTCATCGATTTTAAGTTCATTTTCAAATGTAAAAAGGATTCTTCAGAGTTCAGTTCAGTAAAAGAATTTTTTTTGTATCTAAAAATGAACTCAGAATTGGTGACATACGACTGAATTTTTTTAGAATTCTCTGTGCTATCTGGTATTCATCGTTGTATTGGCGGTTGTATGGCGATTAAGCTGAAACTACGAGTAACGAGCATTTCTTGCGTCAGATATATATATAAACGCAAAAACTTGCCCCAGTAATATTTCTGCATATGTTCAGGGTCGAATAAAATACCTGTTGATACCAAACACTCGCCATTCGATTTTGGTCATGGCAAACCAATTCATCGCTTTCGTGCTTATACCTGTTTATGGCAACACCAAGGAATTCTTTGACTGGATATAATTAATTATTCGTTTATAAATTTTCCTTACACAGCAGCCCTTAAAAGAAAGTGTCACTAGCTGTAATAAATTGGCTAGATAAATTATTAATGCTCAGTAATTTTATTATTCATACGAATAATAAAATTACTAAACAACAATTCACGAAAATTTGCACTTATTGGTTTATTATGCAAAAAGATATGAGCAATATTAATAAAAAAATATTTAATGTTTAAATAATAGGTTACAAAGAATACTTTTTCCTTATAAATTTTTATAACTAATTAAACAGTTTTATTTTTTATAATAGATTATAAAAACTCGAGAGAGAGATTAATTAATTCTGAAAAATACAAGTTCTTGAAAAAAAATGTTGCAATTTTGTTACTGATTATATGTAAGTGACTAATTGATATAATCCCACATAGCACAAGATTTAAAAGATGTCCCAAAGATATTACTAAATATCCGCATAATTCTCAAAATATCTTAAAAATATCTCGAAGACTTTTAAGTGTTCACACAAGTCTCCAAGATATCCTTTCAAGATCTTGTGCCATGAAGGTACTTACGTAACTACATATAACAAATTAACTGTTGTCAGTACGTAAAATATATTTTTAAAACTCTAACTAAATATAAGAAAATCCATACAACTTATTCAAGCTTGACGGTAAAGATATGCAGTCTAAATTTCAACATATTATAATTTCACATAAATCGGAGAAGATCAGTATTGTGAGTTTTTTTTATTACCCAGATAGCATAGAGAATTCAAAAAGAATTCAGTCGTATGTCACCAATTTTTAGTTTATTTTTAGATGCAAAAACAATTCTTTTCACTGAACTGAACTCTGAAGAATTCTTTTTGCATCTGAAAATAAACTCAGAATTGATGTACGACTGAATTCTTTTTGAATTTTCTGTGTTATTTGGATCATTTTCACGAGTTTCTCTGTAACTGAATATTAAAACAAGTCTAATCTCTTTGCTATTTTCTATAAATGATCATAATCCATCTTTAAAAAGATATAAAATATTTTAAAAATTTAAAATAAAGTGATGTTTTTTTTTGTGGCTTGAAGCGAGAGAATTTAAATCTGTCGGGACTTTAAATCCTCGAAACGCGATTGTACTGCTTAGCGACATCTGCTGGTATATGGAGAAAACTCCTGTGAGAGAGGAGCGAATAATAGTGCAGGAGAGTGCAGGTAAAACGAACATAGCTCTCAAGTTTATGAGAGAGAGCCAGCAGAGCGTGTTGCTGGTGTTGCACTTGCGTAAGACAAACAAGAGTTTCACGACGTTTTGCGATAAAACCATGCATGATCCGTCACCGATCGCTCGTCGCTGCAAATTAATATTATTTGCTACCGGCCAACGTTCGTATTTTTCTCAGTGAGCAATTCGGCCTTCAAAGTACGTACACTAGGCACGGATTTTACGTGCACACGCAGAGGCACAACGGTGAATAACAGTTCCGCACGAACAGCAATTTTGCTTAAGCCTAACAAATAACATTATCTAGTGTAACAAAAGCGTAAAGTTGTAAAACTAAACAAGGCCAAAGAAGAAAAGGTGTGGAAATTGCGCGAAGATGCCAGGCAATACATTGCGTTATAATCTTGCCAGAGAGTGAGACACGTGTGGCGTCTTGTAGTATTCCTGAGTAGAATATCAGCAAGTATGATTTGCATTTCCATCACACGTGGAACATGCCGCGAAACGAAGCATCGAGTCGTGCGTTTAGTTCTTCTGCTGTTATAACACACAATTGATCTCAAATGCCAATGATCATGGCGCAGAATGAGAGCGAGAAGTATCCATTGCACAAGTGCGTGTTTCAAGGTGATGTAAAGACACTGAGTTCCTTGATCAGGACCCACGACATTGCCGAGAAGGATCAACAAGGTTTGCTTCAACATTGAAACACAATCGTCTTTTGAGCATGCTTTGAGAGCTCTTGTTGATACTTATGCATACAACTTCAGTGATAAGGATTCTTCAAGCATAAAGTTATAGCAGAACTTTGTGTTTTAACTTCCTTGTATTTTTGGTTTTAGGGAACACACCTTTGCATTTAGCTGTGATGTTAGGACGAAAAGGTATGGTTATTCTTATATCTGATTTGGTTCTGTTAATATATTTAAACTAAGTATTAAAAAGTATTATTGTTAACGACACAGATTTAAAATGTTAAAGCAAAATTAGAAAGTGATAAAGCTCTGAGATGTGTAATAAAAATATGAAGAATCAAAATTTTTAACTTAAAGTTTGAATTATACATTCTTATATAACTGTGTACTTTATATATTGTTATAAGTCAGTTTAAGATGTTAAAGCTTCTTTCTTAACTTAAATTCTCTATGATATGAAGCTAAGTTTGTAACTGAAAAATATGTCCATTACATTATATTTTTACTTTATTGTTTTATAGAATGTGTTCAATTATTGCTTGCACATGACACACCTGTAAAAGTAAAGAATTTAGCTGGTTGGAGTCCATTGGCTGAAGCTATCAGTTATGGAGATAGGCAAACCAGTTAGTATAAAATAGAATTATAATTTGTATATTTGGCATAATCCAATGTCTTATTATAATTGTGATGTGAAAATTCTCCAAATGTTTATGACTTTTTATAGTATCATCTTTACTACGCAAACTGAAGCAACAAGCTAAAGAGCAGATGGAAGATAGAAGACCGAATTTAGTTACTGCGCTACATCAAATGGGCGATTTTTATATGGAATTAAAATGGGACTTTCAGAGCTGGGGTAAGCTCTTCGTATGCTTATTCGTTTTTCTCTAAGAAGATGTAGTAACTCTATTTGTGTACTAAATTCTCTTTCTCTCTCTTTCTTTCTCAATTGATCAAAATTAAAATGGCTTATTTCTATTTCTTTAAATTATTATATTTATGTTGTTTTCACCTGTTGCATTCATGTAAATTTGTGTTTTTTCTTGCCAGTAGATTAACAGTAAGTTTATCTATTTCTTTCAGTACCATTAGTCTCGAGAGTGTTACCATCGGACATATGTAAAATAAATAAAAGTGGAGCTTCTATTAGGATGGACACAACTCTCGTGGATTTTAACGACATGAGATGGGAAAGGGGTGATGTATCTTTCATCTTCAATGGCGACAAGAAGCCCAACCATTCATTGACTGTCCTCGACAATAAAGCAAAACTTTTCCAAAGAGTGAGATACGAGGTTAACGATCTTTTTTAATATGTTTTCTATACGATATTCTCTTTTATGATGTTGAATACATCGTGTATATATAATATATACTGAACTAATAATGTAATTAGAAATTTTTGGCATATTCTCTTGTCACTCCTACAATAAGAAAAATGTAAACCATGTGTGAATAGACTCATTGGCACAACTCAACCGTCGTGGAAAACTATAGCTAGCTAAATTTACATTCATTTCTATGAGCTCAGTTTATGCGTAGTTTCAATGAAAAGATGAAATCTAAACGATTCACACATCATATAAGTACACACACATCATATAAGTATACACACACACACATACATATATATATATATATATATATATATATATATATATATATATAATTATCTCTTTGTTCATATTAAAACGATCGTTTATTTTGTATGTATTTTGTATGTATTTTAGGAAACAGAACTTGATATAGAAGATGAAGTTGATATTCTTATGTCTAGTGATATTATGGCAGCGCAAATCTCTACCAAAGGTATTACATTCTCTAGGGCACAGACAGGGTGGATTTTTAGAGAAGATAAAAGAGTAATTACATTTATACATTTATACATAAATTAGCTAAGATAACCACAATTTGTATCTATCTTTTATTGATCTAATATTGTGTATATTCATATAATTAAATATTCGTAAATATTTAAAATAAAGGAAATGGTGGGTGGCTTCCATGCTGATTTTTATCAAATTAATGGCATGGTATTGGAAAGTAGGAAACGTCGTGAACATTTAAGTGCAGAAGATCTCCAAAAAAATAAGGCTATTATGGAGACCCTTACAAAAGGTAGCTCTCAAGGACTTACAAATGGCGAGGTGAGATTTTAATATTTAATGTATTTATATAACTTTATCTAAAATATGTTACATGAAGATTATCTAAGATATGTTACATGTTTATTTAAACTGTTGCTTAAATAACTTTAGTAGCTCCTATTTAAGGCTCCTGAGTATCCGTCGGCGCCATATTGAATTATGACATCAAAAGCGAGAAATGGCATGCAAGAATTTTGGACATACGTTTTCTCACTTCTAATGTCATCAATCCAGAGTTCAGCGGCGAGAGACCAGGAGCCTTAATTCCGAAATGGTAGATGTATAATACTTTTTTGCACTTAGCCTCCCACGAGAAGAGCGTCGTTGAATCCACCGCCAGAATCGAATATAACGTGGGAGGAATATGTTGTCGCTCCTCCTGGGAAGTGCCCGCTTCTAGGAAGAAATCTTGTGTATAAAGAAAGTAGTAAATCCTTTAAAGCTACCGTGGCGATGAGCCAGGACTTCCCCCTCACTGTCGATATGTTACTCAATGTTTTGGAAGTGATCGCGCCGTTTAAGCACATAAATAAGTTACGGCAATTTGTACTCATGAAGTTGCCTCCTGGATTCCCGGTCAAGATCGATATACCGATATTACCTGCTATCAATGCTAAAATAACTTTTCAAGAGTTCGCCTTTCGCAACGACATAGATCCGAATGTGTTTAAAGTGCCAGAAGACTACCAAGAAGATCCAATGAGGTAAATTTATATTTGATCAAATAAATCTCGTATCTTATCGGCTTGTGTAAAACGTCATAATGGACTGAGAAGCAAACAATCTTGTATGACATTGTATACATGTAATACGCAATATCATTTAGAAAATTGAGAAAAATTAAGAAAACAAATTTATAAATTTATAAATGATGTTCTCAAAAAATGTGCTACAAGTCTTCAGTACTTCCAAGAAGACATTCTACACATCCCGATATATATATTTGCAAAAATTAGCAATAAAAGAAATTTTTGGATTTTACACATTTCAAGAATGTAACATCTACTTAGTCAGGATTAATACGTTGAAACGTTCCGCACATGTATTATCTTAACGAAGCACAATAATACGTTTCAGAGGTTACGGTGCGTACATGACTATGATGATGGTTCTTCATACCGCGTCATCCGTTTGAGGATAAACTTCAAGATAGACAAAAAAATATTAGTAAATTCTTATTGCAACAAAATTTCTATTAATAAGAATTATGTTATTTTTGTTTAAATTACATGAATTTTATCGGTAATAATAAAATACTTTCTCTTTTAAATTATCGATATTGGCACACGAATTTTGAGTGTCTGTGCTGATAGCAAAATCATTTAACAGATGCATACTAATACATTCCTGCAATGGATTTTAACAATTGCATGTTCTGTAAAAACAATTTTGTCAACGGAGCTTGCACTTAAGCGCGTTAACAATCCATTATATCGTATAATCGAATATCGTTATCGAATCGCATTTAAGAATAAGTGCAAAATTATTGGCAATATTAGTCTCTGTCTATTATCTTAAACTTTGGTGTAAAGTTAATTAGCGCGATTTAATATTTTGCGTATACGTTCGTATAAATGTTTTCCGTGTCATTTATCAACATTCACACCGTATGCGCTACATTCGTATTAATCATCAGCAATCGCTTTGCAGATTTCCAGACTTATGACACCTCGAACCCTTATACTAATCGACGTCCAGCCTAGTTGGGACTATTTCCTTCTGTGCTAGGAGACAATCTGGCTTTCGAGATTTTGGGCCAGTCTGGAAAGCATCTACTCAAGCCATTGTGTGTTGTTCATCGAGTAAACTAATCTTTGTAATTCAATCACATCTAACAGCGAATAGTGTTGAATATTTACGAAATGTTCGATAGAGAAGCAAAACTATGAACGAAAAGCAAACCTACGCACTGGAATTACTTAAACCTGCACACGACACCACTATTTAGTACCTAAACTTAGTTACACGTTTTCCAAGTAGACTTTGTACGAAGAGATATGAATGTTATTCATATATCGTGTTGTACTTCAAAAAGATATACGCTGCGTGCGATCAGTGTTGCTGAGACAATATGTTGCGTATCGACCGGACGTGAGAATAATGATCAAGATTTACGTTTTCGCAGTACTGATGTAACTTTGTAACTTTTTACAATTTTTAAACGATAACCAAGTGCTCCAACATATGTTCCAGTTAGTAAATATATTAAATACGGACACAAATTTGCACTGTCTCCAGCAACACTGCGCACGATAAGCGACACAACCTAATTTTTCAAAAAGCTGCGATTAAAAGTGTCACTTCCTGCGTGTGCTTTGAAATTAAATTAGAGATTTTTCACACCGCGAAATCTTAAGATTTTAAGTTCGTCGTTGCAGCCACATTGGATTACAACGGTAAAAACAAGTTTGTGATTATATAACAAGTATGTGACTTATTGTTACAATAGAATTATATAGAGGTATAAATCAACTTTTGTTACGAATAAGGAAACGAATTTATTTCAACGTGCAGCAGTGGAAAAGTTCCTTATAATTTTTCGCTATGACGTAATTATCTAATATGACTGCGACGGCGGACTAGAAAACCGTAATGACTAAACAGAGTAAATCGGGTAACTAATTAGTAGAGTTGTATTAGTATTCTGCACTTTTCGCAAATTGTCTAACAATTTCAAATTCGGCGAAGATAATGAATCACATTGATTTCTTCGCTAATTTCACAAACAATATGTATTTTTACTATTGAAATTTTGTCAATAGTATAGCATTCGATTGGCCATGTGAAGGAATGTTAGTCTAGGATGTACTCTTTCAGTATTACCAATTTACACTTGCGTAGCTTATAGCAGTTGTAATATGTCTCTTTTAGTACAAACATGTCCAAACGAAACGTGGCACCAGCTTCTTATCCTTGCGCGAGAGTGCATGAAATCATTATCAAAATACATGATTCGTACTCATACCGCATTCGATGCTGTTGTTTTAATTCTGAATATTGTAATTACGTAAAGTACTGAGAAATTATATCTATTGTTAAGTGACTTAATTCACGATAAGTCATTTGATTTTATTATTATGTAAGCGAAGAAGAAAGTTCTTCCAGACGTGAAAACTCATAATGAAAATCTTTTTTGCATTTTCGCATACTTATCATGGTTTCAAAGTTTGTACACTTAAGTTTTCGATACTGTGTATATATTACGTTACGTGTAAGCGGAGAGTTTCTGGGGTGCTTTTATTTGTGGAATGCGAAAGTATGAGACCGAGTCAATCTTCCTCGCTATTAAACGATTCCGAAACAATCACAATGAAATCCAACTCGATGACGCTTTCGTAAAATTGTGGACTTTCAACTGAATAATAGACCTAGATTTCCAAGTAACAAACAGATAAATACCCTCGTCCGTTACTCATCACATCCACAAAAAATTTCACTAACCTTTGCTCAATTCAGGCTCACGACTGATAAATAATTGACGAAAACTTACTACATTCTATTGAATTATTAGTCTAATGCAATCGCGATTATTTAATTCGCCATAAAAATATAGAAATGTTAATCGGGATACTTTATTAATTTATTACTTACTGAGAAGTGAGATTTTAATGTATTATATAAAATGTACGAGGATTATATTAAGCGTTGGCGAAAGGAGATTTGTAAGAAATAACTAACGAGAAGTGTTATTTTGCGTCCTACCGAACACCCTGCGCTGTTCATACAACGGAAGAGCACGCACGATTGTACAATACAACGCGTGGGAGCGAGGAGGCGTGCGTTACGCACGTACACTTCACGACACGCAATTCTCTTAATCGGCATAATGTAACCCGAGTACGGTCATCCCTTGAAGAAGTCGCGTCGTCATGTTTTAATCCAAGTCGCGCGATCTTGAACTACTTTATGATCAATTTTGCGGCCTTGTCGGCTGACGCAGCCGAAACCGAAGAAATCGTCCGTGCACACATTATAACAACAACAAAACAAAAGAAACATACATAGAATGTCAATCGCGTTCAAAGGACGTGGTTTATTGTATTTCTTTTATTAGTTGCTACTTTGTTACAATGCAATAAACGAGGGTAACGAGCTAAATATGTATCTTTACCGCTTTGACCCAAACGTGCATCGACATTTGCGACGAGCGTCATTCTCGAGTGAATTGCGTTGCGTATTGAAATGAGAGATTGTTAGAGAAAATAGTTCGATGAAAATGAACTGGTATTGTGTAAGACTCGTGACCGCTTTTTTGATCGGTGAATATTGTTTGCTCTGTAGCAAGAATGTATCTGTATCAATACGACATTGTAAGACGGTGCTGATAAGGACTACAGGAAGAGAGAGTCTGTCGCCTTTTAGGTTGTTGCGAAAGTTCCGGCTGTCTTTTTGCATCTACGACGTGTACTCGCTTTGCGCAACGCTGACATGTTTGGGGAAAGAGTGGTGTGTATGCGTGAAGATCCTATAGAAATTAAAATCCGTGAAACGATCGCAATTCCGCTCTCGATATCGGCGGAAAGATATCGCGTGTCGGAAAGATGCCGAATTGGAAAACATATCTTTAAGGAGGAGTAGAGAACAAAGCGCGTTACGGTTACAGGAAATGCTGTCGGAACTGCATACAGACTTCATAGCGCTGAAGGTCAATCAATTAATGAAGAGAAACTGATCTGTCGGTAAATATGAAAGAGAGGCGGCGATGTCATTACGATCACAATGTCACGATTATGCATAGAACCTGTTATATAACATTGCGTTCAGAGGAGATGCGGAAAGCAGCAACAAAGAATAGAGAACGTGCGAAATGTAGACTTGGCATGATAAATTTTTTACGTTAAAAATCTTTTGCTTTTTTACGAAATACTGACTTATTGCCAAATATGCAACGCCGGGATCTCCAAGTTTCTTGCACAACAATTCCCCAAGAGTGACTGGTGCTGTGTACACTTGGACGGAAGGAAACGAAACGTGAATTCCGCGAACGGGTATAGTTTCCACATATGTGCGGGTGTGTCTCATCGATTCTTGTCAACGTCCTTGTCATCGCGCCTCCTAAGAGCGACCTAAGCTCAAACAACCGAGACCACCTTGAAATACGAGGAGGGGCACTTCGATGTACTCGAGGAGAGGATATATAGAGGTTTGTACGCTGGTACAAGAGCAGATCGTCCTTCCGCGTGTCTCGGGCACCGTGTTTCCCCGAAGGATGCGATCGGTGGTATCGGCGCTATGAAGTTGTATGTCGTTGTGAGTAAATTTAACATATTTCTTCGCACCTGACCGTAACATACACATAAAAATCTCGCTGAGAAGAAGTCGATTCTGAATTCGTCAGAAATACATTCGATATATAATGCGAAATATCAAATAATCAAATATGTGGAATATTTGAAATTTGATTAGTTTTTTTAAATAATTCCAGTTTTTTAAATAATTCCATGCATTAATCATACATCTGCACGACACACGAGAGATGAAGGTTTTTGTTTAAATTTCTCTTCTTTCAAGTGTGCGCGCATTGCTAACAAAGTTTACTTTGGTGTGATAATTAAACAGCATATCGCGAAACGTATTCCTCGGGAATGCATGCGAAAATTGCTAATGCAATTTTAGATGTGTGATAACATTGTTCATTATGCAAAACGCTTGCTTATAGTGCTATCAGTATAAATCGATAATTACCATGTCCGGGTATCTATCTGATATCCGGATCTATCCGGATATCTATCTGATACTCAAATTCGCGGATGCTGCTCGAGTATTTTTATACTATCCGAAATAATCGAGTATTTACCCGAAAACTGGAAATTACAAATAACAATAACATCTATCTGCCATACGTTATTAATTTTCAGAGCCACTGATTTCGTATCAGCTGACTTTGTGTTTTTCTAAGCTTTGCGACGTAGAAAAATACGAACTATAATGATGTTACAATTGTTATCTGTAATGATGTCACAATTGTTATATGTCATCGTATGGAATCGTGTATTTTAATCCTTAATTAAATGCTACAGCCAAATCAAATCATTTCGTTGTGAAGTCGTCGTGAGAATAAATTGTCAAAAATGCACTTAATTGTTAGTTAATTTTGACGGAATGCCGAGTTAATTTCCTACTCCGAAATATTTGTACGTTTTATTATAAGATAAATCAATACAAAGCAAGCTAAATGAGGAGCGTGTGTTACTTATTTTGAGAAAAAATTCTTTCACAATTGCGAGTATTGTTTGTTGGATCGAGATTATCTCACACAAAGAGGAAGTAGGAGTCGTTACTCTGTCTCTCTGGTTTGTTCTGTCTAAATTTGCTTTATGTAATACTGAGGATAGAAGACCCTCTCTAGAAAACGATATTTCTCGATGGCGATTTTTCACTAGACAAGATCTTACACACAGGTTTCGACCCTCTGCGGTCTAATTGCACTATGCAGCAGTGCAGCCGAACCTCCGGAATCAAAAATGCTCACGAAATTAAGACCCGTGAACGATGGACAGCCTATGGATATTGGGGATCCAGGAGATCTGACTGCATCTGCGAGTGATCGAAGTAAGGACAACAATACTATTTTATGAATTTGTTTTATATTTTTATGAATGCAAAAACAAATCTTTTTGCCAGTAACGATAAACGATTAAACATGAAGTAATTCAAGGAGATTGCTGACACATTACATCGAGCTAGTTTTCTTGACATGACAATTTAATAACTACTTGCATAACATAACATAGATTTGTCGAATGAACATCGTTACGTGTATGCTAAAAGATTAATTTGTATCTCTTGAGACAGGGAAAATTTATTGTGAAGAATTTATTGCTACACAAATAGTTATTTGAATATTATTTTATTCTTAATATCTGTTTGTAAATATTTCTTTGGTTTCTGTGTAACTATTTCATTGTATCTCAGTTTCATTATCTATACTCTTACACAGACTATTCTCAATGTCGGAAATAACATAATAGAACTGACTAGGAAATCTCTTGGGAGCTACGCGGAACATCGCGGAAGTGTGTGACAAACACAAGCTGGATTATTCATTTTAAAATCTCGTGAATCACGCGTTGTATTCTCGAGAGGGTCGGGAGACCTTCGCGCGGCTCGTTACATTAGCATCTTATTACACATCAAAGTATCATTTTTTTTTAGCGATGGGAAATGCTCGACTCTCGAAGTCAGAGCGTGAGAATGGCAGTGACATACTTAGGTTTAATACACCAATTACTCATCGTTAGATAAGAATCGATTATTACACCTATTCTGTATCTTGTGCGTGTAAATTCGCATAATTGCGTGTCTGTCTAATGTCTAAACGGTAAACATTTCGACATAATAGTGATATTTTAATTTGCTCGTATCATAATCATAATGATATGTCGCTCATACTTTGTGAATGTTTACGCGTCTCAGGTGAAATAATATATAATTTATCATTCATTTCATAAATTATTAACACAAAAGGATTTTACCCTAGCGTTTCATTTAAACAAAGATTATGGGTCAATTGGATATCCTGGAAGATATCCCGGAGGATATTCTGGAGGATACCCTGGAGAGACATATGGCGGTTATCCGGGAATCGCCGGATCAATTTATCCTGGTACGTCATACAATGGTCTAAGTCCGGGATATAGAGGATATGGGCCTCTTGGTGGCGGTTACCTTGGGTAAGATTCGATATATTAACAATGTTTTTGAGTTTATATATTTTACTTAATCCTACAAAAAAATATAAGGCAAACGGAAAGAAATACATAAAATATAAGAATAAGAAAAACCTAAAGACCTAAAGATATGTTAAATTAAAGATGATAATAGTTAAAAAGAGAGAATAAGATATGAAAATAATACAAAAATAAAACATTAAAAACTACAACGTGATGAAATTAAATTTTTTGTCGCAGATATGGTTATTATGGTAATGTAGGATATCCAGTATCTCCTGGATATGGTGGCGGTTACGGTGGATACGGGGGTTATGGTGGCTATGGCGGATATGGAAATTATGGAGGATATGGGGGCTATGGGGATTACGGAGTAGGAGGAGTAAGAGGTTACGGTATTGGAAACGACGACGGTTACATAGGATATAGACCACGTGGTGGTTATGGTCGTTATGATGACGCATACGGTTATGGAGGTGGATACGGTACAAATTATGCATCTAGAAACCCATATTATTCAAATACTGTTCGTACTGGTACGAGTTATGGTGCTTCACTTGCTAATCCGTCCGGTTACCGCGGTTATTCCTAAGCACACAATGTTATGTATGTTTTTACATATTAAATTGTTTGTTATTAATATGTTTTTGTCAGTTAGACAAAATAATCGTAATTTTAAGATTTATTATTATATAAATAATGCCTCACATGTATAATATAACATAAAACAATAATGTACCTTTGTAATATAACGGATCCAACATTCTGAAAAATAAATAATTTTATCATTTGATGTAATTTTATTTTTATCTGTTTACAAGATCCGTTTATTCCTTTAACTCTTTTTATTTATATTATTAGTTATTTATTTAAATTGGATTTGTGTTAAGTTAATAAATTTGAATTATATTTTTTAGAATAGTGATTTTTATACCTCTTAAATATATTATATTTGGAAAGTTAAATCTTATACAATAGTTATATATAAATTTAAAAAAAAATTTATTTAACAGTGATTTTATTTGTGTGTTGTTTTTAATTGGCAATACAATTAGCGCATACATTTTCTTATATTATACTGTAAACGAATTCTACAATATTTATTTAAAACTACAGGATACATACATATAAGAATAAACTATATCCACGTAGCGCAAAACATCCCTAAATCATTCTGTAAGTTCTCAAAACGTTTTGAGACATATATTCTTCATTTCAGATATGTTCATGATGATTCTGAGATGTCAGCTATTAGGATATCATGTACAAACATATAATAACATATTAATTACAAAATATAAATTATTATCTATATACTTATAACATCCTATATATTTTACGTAAAATCTACGATAACTTTGAATGATGTACAAACCCAGGAATTTATGAATATTACAAGCTAAACTAAATTTTAGAACTACATATGTTAAATATATGAATTACTTTTCTCTCTCCTCCCCTCTCTTTCTTCTTAATAATTGTTGTATGCAATACGTAATTCAGATTTTCAATAAGTATATAACAAATACATGTTTTTGTATTATTAAAGAATTAAAAATCGAGCAGAAATTAATATTCATTTGCAATATTCAACGTAGAAGAAAGATAAACATTTTTTTGTTATGCATGTAAAAATTTGGTATCATTAACATAAATTCTAATAATAAATATTAGGATATTGGTTGACAAAAATCGAGACGAAACAGAGAGATAGGAAATCATTCCTTATTCATGAAAGATTTCAATATAGCTTCACGTCAACCTAAACCTGATACAAATAACCACAATCAGTGTTCAAATACAATCTTATAATCTCTGTTGCTTTCATACACATAACGTGTACCAGTATTTGTAAATAATATACAAAATAGTATAATAAAAGAAAAGAAGAAACAGAGAGGAAAAGAAAGTGAAGCAATAGAGAAATATTGAGAGCTCAGAACAAAAATGTCGTTCAAATTAATTAATAATTTGTAAGGTTCATTTTAGATGTCATTTAAACTGAACCTTATGCACAAATTTTGAAATGTACTTTTGCTCTGAATTCTTCTTGTATTCCACTGACTTTGGTTATTCGGCCAAGTATTATAAATGTCACTAATTGGCCATCCATCGGCTAACCAGCAGCTGACGGACGGGCAAAGCCAATATCCCATATTTATCGATATCCCTTGGGAGAGGACGAACTTCCCTTCCCAGAACGATTGCAATTTAACAGCAATAAGTTAGTTATACTCCTTATTCCGTTTTTCTGCTTCTGCTCCTCCTTCGTTCGGCGCCCGTTTCGACTGGAACATTTAAAAACCCAAGATTGGCCTGACTTAACACCTCCTTGAGATAATCAACATTGCCAAGCTGATTTACGTCGAGCACCTGTATCCCGAAATTGCTGTCTTGTGTGCCGCATGCTTCGCATGCATATGGGACAGGTGTTGCGGATGGGAACATGACCTTCATCTTACTGCTGTCCGTCTCATCGCCGGGACAGTAGGGTACAAAGATAACAGGAATGAATCCGAACTGACCAATGACAGAGGTAGGAGTCGTACTGGTTGCTACGTTTGTGCTGTTATTTGACTCGACTAGGTAACAAGGACATGCTTGTGGATCTGGGCCTATAGGTAGTGAAAAGGGCTTGACGTTGATGGAGCTGGGCGGCTGAACCCCAATGGCGTCGAAGCCGGGATTCGCCTGGAGTGGTTGTTCAAGTCGTGAATTTACCTGTTTCTCCAGAACACTGATATGTCCATCCGGCTGAAACGGTACGTTAGAAATTGCTTTGCTATCCACATTTGCAGAATTATTGTACTGTTCAGGTATGTTAAACGTGCTCTCTTGTCGGCCTAATTTAATTGGTCGATATGGTCTTCTTGAAGGATGTTCTTGCAAATTGTATGTTGGGTAAAATATCGACTTCTGATATTCGCCCTGATCGTGCACAGAAAATTTCTCAGTGCTTGTTTTAGGCAGTTTTGTTACTGGTTCTGAGGTCGCATGATCATAAGGTTGTGCAGTCTTAAACGTGTCTATTTTTTTATCATCGATAATGTATTTCAATGATGGTGCTGTTGGTCCTATTTGCAACAGAGAGTTGATCTCACCTGAGTTGTAAGTAGTTCCTTTCTTCCCATAAATTAACGGCGACTTGGTCCCGTATTTGTGCTCTCTTTGATTCGTATATGGTGTACTTATTTTCGTCGAATGCGACAAATCTGTCGATTCAATATTCTTTATATTATAGTCTGTGTATGCAAAATCAGATATGTTTCCAGAGTAGTATTGCGTTATATAATCATTATTGTTTATATCAAGAGGGTAAGTTTTGGGTCGTTGACTTTTGAATGGTCCTCTGTGCGAAGGTTTCCTTGTTGGTTTTACTCCAGGCACATAATCTGGATCACCAGGCCATGGTCCATCGGGACCAGGTGAACCAGTTGGCCATGGTCCATCGGGACCGTCAGGCCCGACTCCACCTACACCACCGATATCTCCTATTCCACCAATGCCACCAATAGGACCTTCGGGACCCACTGGTCCTTCTGGACCTGAAGGGTATAACGGATAACCAGGATAAGATGGGTAACCTGGATAACCTGTAAGACATAATAGATATTAAAATTAAATATATAATTCGGCATACAAAAATTACATAAATTTATTAGATTAATATGATGCACATTTTTTCAACTGATTCAAATTAAATTATAATAATAATTATAACGATTTCTTCTCTTTTAATAACATACCTGGTTTGCCAGGTTTTGAATGAATGCCTGGTTTGTTCGATGGAAATCCGGGATACGATGAAGTACCTGGTTTTCCAGGTATTCCGGGTGTTCCTGGCGTTCCTGGAGTGCCGGGAGTTCCTGGATATCCAGGATAAGATGGAATTGGTTTTCCTGTTGATATAGGAGTTCCTGGGAAACCAGGAGTACCAGGAATTGCCGAAATATCTGGTGGGCCTGTTGCTGGATATGTAGGATAAGATGGAATTCCAGGTTTTCCGAGAGTACCAGGAGTACCGGGTATACCAGGAATACCAGGCGTACCAGGTATACCAGGATATTCTAAATGTGACGGTATTTCACTTGTTCCTGGTATGACGTGTATTTCAGGACTACTTGGTATAGTTGGTGTGCTAGGATAATTAGAATGAGGTGGGAATGGTGGAATCCCAGGTTTTGTTGGAATTTCGGGTTTACCGGGGATAGCAGGAGGTCTCGAAAAAGATGGTTTTCCTGAAGTTTCTGGTATTTGGGGATATCCTGAAATTGGTGGGCTTTCTGGATACGCTGGTATACCAGGTTTATGAGGATGGCCAGCAAAACTCGGTTTTCCAGGATGTCCAGGATAACTAGGTCTCTCAGGATAATTTGAAATAGAAGATCCAGGAATTACTGACGTACTCGGTGTTCCTATATGAATAGGGTAAGATGGTGTTCCTGGTTTTCCTGGTATTCCAGGAAATCCTGGAGTACCCGGTGTTCCAGGAATTCCAGGAGATCCTGGTATACCGGGTGTTCCAAAATGCCCCGGATAAGAAGGTACTCCAGGAAAACCTGAAGAATCAGATATTCCTGGATATCCAGGATAAGTCCCAGGTTTTCCTAGTGTTCCTGGAAGTCCAGGTGTACCAGCTGATCCGGGAATGTTGGAAATCCCTGGCGTGCCTAGCGTTCCTGGATGGCCTGGGTAATGGGATATCCCTGGCTTTCCTAGAGTACCAGGAGATCCTGGAATACCTGGTGTTCCTGGAATTCCAGGGGATCCTGGAGTACCCGGTGTTCCAGGAAAACCAGGGGATCCTGATATCGCAGGATGTCCTGGATATGATGGTATTGCTGGTATACTTGGAGTTCCGGGACTTCCCGGTATGCCTGGTCTTCCAGGTATACCAAGTGTTCCTGGGGTACCCGGTATTCCGGGAATGCTGGGAGATCCTGGAGTACCCGGCGTTCCAGGAAAGCCAGAAGATCCTGGTATTGCAGGATATTCTGGGTAAGATGGTATTATTGTTATACTTGGAATTCCTGGAACTCCTGATGTGCCTGGTCTTCCGGGGATACCAGGTATTCCTGGTCTACCCGGTATTCCAGGAGTGCTAGGAGATCCTGGAATACTCGGAGTTCCAGGAAAGCCAGGGGATCCTGGAGTACCTGGTGTTCCAGGAAAACCAGGGGATCCTGGAGTACCTACTGTTCCGGGAAAGCCAGGGGATCCTGGTATTACAGGATGTGCTGGATAAGATGGTATCACTGATATACTTGGAGTTCCAGGACTTCCTGGTATACCTGGTCTTCCAGGTATGCCAGGTGTTCCTGGAGTACCTGGTATTGCGGGAATGTTGGGAGATCCTGGATTACCTGGCGTTCCGGGAAAGCCAGGAGATCCTGGAGTACCCGGTGTTCCGGGAAAGCCGGGCGTTCCTGGAGTACCTGGTGTTCCGGGAAAGCCAGGGAATCCTGGAGTACTTGGTGTTCCGGGAAAACCAGGGGATCCTGGTATTGCAGGGTATCCTGGGTAAGATGGTATTGCTGGTATACTTGGAGTTCCGGGACTTCCTGGTATACCCGGTCTTCCGGAAGTACCAGGAGATCCTGGGTTAGCAGGTATTCCAGGAAAGTCAGAAGATCCTGATATTGCAGGATGACCTGGGTAAGATGGTATTATTGATATACTCGGAGTTTCTGGTGTACCCGGTCTTCCGGGTATGCCAGATATTCCTGGTGTACCCGGTCTTCCAGGTATGCCAGATGTTCCTGGTGTACCCGGTCTTCCAGGTATGCCAGATGTTCCTGGTGTACCCGGTCTTCCGGGTATGCCAGATATTCCTGGTGTACCCGGTCTTCCGGGTATGCCAGGAGATCCTGGTATTGCAGGATATCCTGGGTAAGATGGTATTGCTGGTACACTTGAAGTTCCGGGACTTCCTGGTGTGCCCGGTTTTCCAGATATATCAGGTGTAACTGTTATCGTCGGTGTTCCTGGCCTTCCAGAAGTTCCGGGAGTACCCGGTGTTCCTGGAATGCCGGGAGATCCCGGTGTTTCAAAATGCCCTGGATGAGAAGGTACTTCGGGAAAACTTGGATAATCAGGTATTCCTGGATGTCCAGGATAAATAGGCGTCCCTGGTTTTCCTGATGTTCCAGGAAGTCCAGGATAAGTTGGTGTTCCTGGTCTTCCTGATGTACCAGGAGTACCTAGCGTACCCGGTATTCCTGGATGTTCTGGGTAAGTCGATGTTCCAGGTTTTGCTGGTATTCCTGGAATAATGGGAGTTCCTGGTCTACTTGGGATTCCTGGTATATCCGATGTTCCAGGAGCACTAGGAATTCCTGATGTACCTGGTATTCCTGGGTGTCCTGGGTAAACCGATGTTCCAGGTTTTACTGATATTCCCGGAATAGTGGGAGTTCCTGGCTTAATTGGTGTTTCTGGATGAGATGATATACTCGGAATTGAAGGTATTGAACTCGCTGAACCCGGTATTATGGGTTTGCCAGGACTTCCTGGTATTTCAGGATAAGAAGATGGATACTCTATTATTCCGGGGAAACTCGGAGAACTTGATCCTGGTCTCTCTACGATTCCAGGATAATCTGCAACACTTGATGTTCCTGGCTTTCCTGGAATTCCTGATGTTCCTGGAGTTCCGGGTGTTCCTGGTCTCCCGGGAACCCCTGGTGCTCCTGGCCTCCCGGGAGTTCCTGGCGTTCCTGGCCTCCCAGGAGTTCCTGGCGTTCCTGGAGTTCCTGGTCTTCCGGGAATTCCTGATAATGCAGGAATACCAGGAGATATTGATATACTTGGAATCCCTGGTTGTCCTGGATATGATGACACCGCAGGGATACCTGAAGTGTCAAATAAGATACGTTTCACGTTATAACCTACTTTTTTTCTAGTATATATATTTTTCTATAGTTATGAATATATATTATATATAAATTATTATCCATTAATGATTCTTTTAATTATAGTAAAATGAAAAAGGTATACCAATTAAATCAGGTCTGTAAGATTGTTGTGGTTTCACCGGTGTTGCATCAATCGTTGTTCCACTCCCAATAGGTACTATTTAATAAAATATAAATGTGTGTGTAATTATTTCGATATATATGAATATATCATATATATGTTCATATATATTCATATATATGCATAAGAAATATTATTTATGTATTGTATCTACGTACTTCCTATACCTATCGGTAGAGGCCGACCGCTCGTATCTACATATTGTCCGCACACAGCTGGAAAATAGAGCTGCTGCCATGGTGTAATTACACCTTGATGTTTGTGGTGATCATGATCATCCCCTGGTTGGTGATGCTCGTGCTTGTGAAGAAACAGTTCTACGTCCTTTCCAGGTTGAATAACGCGGTAACCCCATCCGTCGCTGAGATAAAATGTGGCCTTTAGATGACCAAAAGGGTCAACGTAGCCGTAACATCCATAAGTAACTCCATCCGGACCACGTACTTCATGATGGAATTGACCATCCGGACTTACATCATAACCGTATTTGTATGCATCTGTAAAAACAACAATTAATCATCAATTTTTGGTTCATAACAATCTAAAATCTCAGAGTAAACTGTGAGAAGTTTACAGTATATATAATTAATTTTAAAAACAATTTTATAATTGAAATAAACCTTATAAAAGTATAAACCTTATAAAAGTATAAACTTACATTATTCTTACATTTTATTAAATATATAAGTCTTTCTGAGATATTTTTTAGTATACTTGCCTGCTTTAACGTTTTGACTCAAATACTGAGTTTTCTGTTTGTCACTAATACTCAGAATCACTTCATCGCCCCGTTCGGTATTTCTTGGCTCCTGAGTGAGTTGCGACACGGATGTAGCAATCACCTACAAAGCAATTATTTGTCTTTATTCGAGTGTACGGTGAGGTAAAGACAATTAATAGAAATTGTATTTATTAAGATGTGCTATCTTTACGAGAGAGTGCTCTGCTAATAAGGAATGGTTGTCAGGTGCAATAATTTTGCATTGTCAAGGCTCGTGACATTTCGAATAAAGCACAATGTAATTATCGGGAGATGTTTAAAAATAACTGGCCTTTAATATCGGTCACCAGGATTAAGCATTCGATACGATCTACAAGTATAATCGTGAAATATCATGGTCATTTCCCATTTCTGCAGTTGCAGCGATCTAACTGGACGCTTGAGTTCGAAGATATATCGCGCGATTAGAGAAATGCGAGAGACTCCTTGCTCCATGAATACGCTTACATTATTTAGCTGCTTTTAATCGCGCACCGCTATATGATATATACACCAAGAAAATATATTATCTTCGTTATCGAAGTTATCGAAGATCTCAAACATTATTTTCTCGTTAATCCAATAAAAGGGTGGCTCGTTCAGGAAAATGTACTGCTTCTCAATGTAGATCTACAGGCCTCCGATTCCAATAATTCTGTTAACCTTTCCAAAGTTTATCATCCAAAGATTTTCTAATGGCACAGCACATCACTTTAAATGTCAAGACGACCAGATTATTCTTACATTCGTTACCTAGATATTAATTCCACAAACATTGCGCAGTCTGACAACATTCTAAAGAATTTAAAAAACTTGGTTTAATCACACAGCGATATGGCAAAGCGGTGTTACACGGCTCTTTTAGAGGAAAACTGTTCAGTATGCGGAATTCTTCTTCTTTATCTTCGAAAGTGTTGCAAATAATGTATATTGATACTGATTATGACATAACAGATTTTCACTTCCACGGACACGGAACATCAGCCGTATCCCTCGCTCTGCTGCTGTGATCTTGATTAATTATCCATTCTACGTAAGCGAAAGTCGAAAGCGAAATCAATAATGAAAAGTAGAAATTCCCCCCCAAATTTTCAATTTGCATAGGACGGTGGCTTAAAGGTATTTGACTACTTCCGCGAGACATGCAACTTAGTGATATTATGCAATCAAAAACATTCGTGTACATTTTTGGAGATCTTTTGGTATACATTTAACACCTTTTGCTCAACACACTCGCGCGATTGCTATATGAGTAGCCAAGATAAGGAATCGCCAACGTGAAACTATCGTATTATATCTACTACATTATACCTGCTACATTATCATATTTATTTCATAATTATAATAGCGATTATCATAATTATATCGTAAAGAGTTACGCGTAGTAGTGTGCGTCTGCAGCACAAATCGAAAAGAGAACGTCCCGTCATTTTGGAAATTTTTATATCTGAAAACCTTGACGCTGGCGTGGACGAAAATAAATGCATAAGATCATGATTCTAACTTGCTCATAAATATGTATGGGGTAACTTTAGAATGAGGAAGAGCACGACGTTTTCAGACTTTCGACAGACCGCCAAACTGCAAACGATCCATGCTAATCCGCCGATCCTGCGAAGGAAATCCTATCTAGAGAGTAACCTACGATACTATTCGAAAAGGAACGCATGATAAATGTGAATGGGTGTGTGGAGATTAGATGCGTAGGTATACATAGATACAAATAGCAAGTCGTCGTTTCACATGTGCGCCATACTTAGGCGCGAGACGCGCGTTATTTAACACTTGGCAGCGGTCATAATTTTGCAGGAACCGAACGATCATGTGAGTGCCGCAATAAAAGCAACTATTACCAACTATTATGTAATCGTCAGGTTGTTTGTTTGTTTGTTTTGTGCTGGCCTAGCAGCTGAGATTCGGCCGAGCTCTTCGCCACTTGATCGACGTGATTCGACAGGATCTCTTGATGACAATAATAATGAGGATGCCTGGGCTCGTGCAGGACAAAATCGCCGGATGCTGTTGCGAAAGACCGTAATGCTCTCTCGGAAGATTACGCTCATGTCCCCCTAAATGGCGACACGGTGAATATAAAGGCCTCTTTCCCGCTTACGGCCTGAGGAAATGTCAAGGTGGGGATGCCGAGGTTCCTCTGCCATGACGTATTCAAACGCATTCGGCGAACGTTTAATCGTACACTCTAACTTATGACAGTACTGAGTGCGATCATTGAGATCTGTGTTGAGTGCACTGGGATAAAAGCTGACTAAAAACCGGTAACCCGCAAATTAAATATGCAAATTAAATATGTAGATATGCGGAATATGCAGATAGCACAATTTTACTCTTTTTTTAAGTACAATTGTGGACTTTTACTAGAATATTAATTTGAAATTTGATTCAATTAAATTTTTGTAGAGCATTGAGTGCCATATGTTACAACATATTCTGAGAATAAATATAAATAATATGGTGTGTATGTATCATAATGTTTTGCATCTACTTTACTGTATTATATTACGTTACAATAGATATCGTTGTCAGCTGGATGTATCTGTCTTCGTGTGGTCATCGACTATTTTCACTTTCAAACTACTCATCGGTCTCACACGATATCACCTCATGGTCATTAGCATAACCCATTTCATTCAATTTCGTAATCGATTCACGTTCAGCAGGGACGTCTCGTATGAGCAACAAGAGAGCATCGTATACATGGCGAAAAGTGGCACATATCCTGGTCGACTAGGTCAAGTTAGGTTTGGCCAGGATCCGCTGCCTGTTTCGCGATCACCGATGATCTCAACTGTCTCGTTGTTCCACCCACGAGAAGGGAAAGTCGCGATTCTGAGAAGGCTATATGCAAGCTCTTCTTCGTTGTCTTCTTCTTCTTTTTCCAGCCCCAGGTTGACAGACTATATAACGAAAGGTTAATATATGCTAACTCCCGTGCCAACCCTTCCCCGCGCGCATTTGCCGCGTCAAATGTTGCCGCGAGGATTAATCCCCACGGTATTTATGTCGCGGTATTTTAGTGGACAATAGCGAGATCGTTTCAGCCGTGCCATTCGTGGCGCGTCCGAGTGCGACGTGCCGTTCGCCTCTTTCCGAGGCAGCCCTACTAACTCATACTCTCTCGTGTTACTCGCATTCTCAAAGATACAAGTTGCAGACGCACGCAGCGCAAAATTGCTCTGCTCAAGACAGGTTCCTTCAGCGGTGTCATTTCAGTTGCTGAAACTTTATTGTCGTATATTCTCGAAAACGGCTCCTATATTCATCGAACCCGCTGAACTTACCGGTTTCGATCTTTGCTTGGCTTCGGGAGATATTACGGAGTCGGCGGCGATGCGATAAAATATGTTAATTTATGCGATGAGTTGAATTGTTGCCGTCGGCAGATAATACACGTAACAACGGAAGAAAACTCGAGATGTCCCAGACCTAGTGAGCCACCTCCTATCTGTGGAATCGAATTGATAATACGGTCTACGGATCAGAAGCAATTAGAACACACACACATTACGCGTCGTTCCCACCGATTGTTCAATTAAATATTCACTATTTATAATTATCTATTGCGAAAGAATAACAATTAATTATTGTAGTACTATTAATACTCAAGTATATACTTGACACACAAATTCGCAAGAATTAATACTAACTGAATACGAATACTAATTACAATCAGAAATCGCGCGCATAATATCCATCTACCAGTTACTTAATTTTTACAGCAGCTAATTTGCATTAATTAAAATGCAGTTAAAATGTATTAATTGATTCTGTGTCTTGTTCTTCTAAAATACTTTCACCCATCATTGTCTTGAATATCCAAACAATTTACGGATTAAATAAAAACGGATACGCGAAAAACTCGAGTATTTGAGTTAATCTTTTGATTATTCAATTAAATTTTCAATTAAAGCTTTCAGTTTAATTTCAATTCAATTTTTCAATTCAATTCAATTTTTTTTCTAATTACCTAACGACTATTGTGCTTTGTTATTTGATTCACTTCAACATTTCAATCCCTTCGTTACTGAAGTTTGCTCTTTTATTTATGCCAACTACTTTCCATTATTTAATTATGTATGATTGCCATATCGACACTTGATCACTTGATCTTGACAGCTAACATTATCTCGCGCATCATAATACAACTGCATCGTGATGCGGGCGATAAATAAATTAGAAAGATATGATCGAACCGCCCTGTTTTCATTTGGTGCATTGATCATGCGCTCACACCGTAGAGTAGCTCTTTATATGCGAGATGCGCGCGGCGAAAGGTGCAATTAAATTTATTTTCTTGTGGGAGGAATAGCTTGCTAAACGTATTTATCAAAGAGCAAGAAGGAGAGAACGAGAGAGAATGGGAGGAGACAGAATCAGGATTCCGTTCAGGGACGCCGGGAATCCGCCAGGGGAGTCGAAAAAATGATCGCGCTATCGTTTCAGCCAAAGCCTAACATCACTCTCGTTCACGACTTTCATCTTTGACTATGCGAAGTCTTCATGCAATCTTTCATCGAGTCACCGAACGACCTTCAGCCGTAAAGGCTGCAACGATGAATTAAATCGCTCTGTTTTAATAATTTAATCTTTCCTTCGTACGTTGACATCTCGTCGGTTTTCCTTCGTTCTTCTAAATTATTTATTAACGAAGAGACGAGCAGACATAAAGTACTCCAGTTCGGAATACCTAAATTCGCGCAAATCTAAGCTAAGCACTATCAAAGGCCATCAATCAAGAGTAAACAAGGTCGCGCACTCGAGACTTTGGCACGAGTTAAAGGTAAGCGGGACGACATTTGACGTAGCCGGATCTCTTTTAATTGCGTGCGGTTAATCCGCCGGTTAGGTGACCAAAGCTGTATCACTTTATGCATACAGGGGCCAGATCGATGCATCATCTTCCAGTGAAAGTCACCTGTAAGCGATTGCGTAAAGGACCAGCGTTTTAGCCCGGGGCGAAGCCTCCAGTACACAATTGTTCGCCTTCTGTACGGCCGATCGCATTGATCTCAGTGATATTGCATTCTGTCGGTTTGGTCTCGAAAATATTTTCACAATTAATTGTGTAGGAGAGAAATGAGACAGAGAAAACCTAATTTTTAAATTACGTGCGAGCTTTGATGACGCAACAGATCAATTAAAATATTCTCATAGAATTTGCACGTTTCTTTTTCATTTCAACTTAAACGATTATGTACCGCTAAGGTTCGCTAAAAACTAAATTACTTTCCACATGTGAACGGCACGTCTTGTGACAACAGACGTTTACACGTTAAGTGACATTTCAGCAGACGTTTGATTACTTAAAAGAAAACTTCCAATTTCGGTAAAAAAAACTCTTTCACAAAATGATTACACAAAATATGAATAATGTTGTCCCATTCCGGTTTGAATATATTATAATGCATTAGGATGCATTAGGATAATAATCAAGTTCAACAATCCAACAAAGAATATATTGATACATAAGGATGAGGAAGAAACACGATTAAGTAACTCTCACTTAGTCAAAGTATTTAAAATTGTAGTACATAAATGTCAAATAGATAAATGTCGAAAGTCACTGGCACAATAAAATACAGCTCGTTTAAAATAAAAAACTAACAACAACTGTCTCAAAACTTATTTTGATCTTATTAGCATCGATTTACTTTATACTGTTTACTATAGATAGTATCTTAAAAAAAAAAGTACAAAATTAGTTAATCCAAGAATCAATAATAATACTATTATTTCTGGTAATTGATTGCTCAAACATTTGATTATTTAGATAACTCATAAGTATCTGTGAGTAGATATTTTGGTACCAAAGTATATAAACTGTCATCCTCATACTACACTACTTATAAAACTGTTACTTAGCGTATGCAAGCGATAAATTATGCTTCTTCCATCTTCATATATCGATGAACCCTCTCATGTCAAGGTACTTGGTACTATCATATTCCTAAGGTGAATTTGCAAGTCAGAATTTGAGTGGGTCGGGTATCGCACGTCGCATACGTTGCACGATATTGCTGCAACGTCGCGACATTGAAAGTAGTTATGAATGAAATGTAGTGCAACGGCATTCTGCGAGTGCCAAGATCAATGAAGATCTCGCGGATAATGAGTCACGACGAACACGACTATCATGGAACTGTAATCAGCGTCACTTTCTATCATGAGACATTACTATGTAAACAATTGACATGCACTATTATTTTTTATCCCGCGTACTGTTACTATTAATATTAGACACTGCGTCTAATAAAATGTATAATAATATGCCACGGAATATGCGCAGTAATTGCATTGTGATATGAAATTATTATTATTATTGCTTTAAACAAAATAAACTTATTATTAACATCAAAATTGTACATATAACATACAGTATACGATACTTTAAATACTATAGCGACATAATTATTTAAATCATTTGCCAAAAATAATAAATATATTAGTAAATAATAAAAAGTGAGAAATGAACGAGAATAATCTCTAAAAAGGACCCACCAAATTTCTTTTTGCTAAATTTCTTTTCGTTTTTCTATTTGCAGTCGGTGGATTTCGTAACGTGACGTTGACATTTGTATGCATCTCTTCCTTACACAAGAATACCAGATGCAAATGCAATGCGCGCCCATGCGACAGAGTAGCCACTGTCGCTGCGAGGTGTTTTTATGAAGCGTCGCGTATGCAATTTACGCGTTTGAATGGCAAATATAATATCCGATCATGTAATTGCAAGTGATAGTTAATTCAATAAGGAAGTCAAAAATGGCGTGAAAAATGGCTTAAGTGAAAAAAGCTCATTACTTTTCGTGAAGTTCAATTAATAGTTCAATTAATTTATATATAAGTGTGTGTAGTCAATAGCTATAAAACTTTAAGTAACTACTATTTCTTGAAATAAACACTATATATAAGAACATACGAGTCTTATTGTTTATTATTATAAACATCCAAGGTACACTTTTAATTGATCTTTATACTTCGTTATTTATCAATATTACCTATATTGTTCATTATATATTTGTCGGTTAATATAATTTATCAATACGCGCAAGATGAATTTCAAGTCTCCGTCGAGTTCGTTGACTGCTCAAGTCTTAAGGTATACACAAAAGGGGAGTGTTGGTAGTTGACGTACCAGGGTGAAGAGAACCGCGGTGGCAGGCCGCAGCATCCTGACGCCGGTTTCTTTCTCAGCAGGGCATTGTCCGCGGCCGGCAGGCCTCCAGGTTGACGACGAGGATGATTACCGGAGATAATCGCACGCAGCGCGCCGTTCGAACTGAAAGACTGAACACGTCGTCGGCAGAAAAAGGCTTTTATACAGGGTGGGGGTCGCCGACCCCCCGACCGCCGACCCGGGTCCCATCCCGGCTCGCATCTTCTCTCTTTTCCCTATTCTTCTCGTTTCGACTCCTCCAAGATCGCTCCCGTGCGCACTCTTCTTCTCTGCTCTCACACCCTCTCCCTTCTCACCCGACTCTTTCACCTGGAGTGCGATTTTTTCTTCCGTTTTGCGCCACGGACGGCGCTGGAATTAATTCGATGCGATTGATTCTAATTGATCTCACGCTGGCACATCCCAATCTCATCTCGTGAGCGTCGAATTCATTACCTTGAAGAAGACCTCGCTCTCGAAAATCCATATTTCTCGCGACAGACATTCGATTGGAAACGACACGACGTTGCCAAGGTATTATTTCATCGCCGCTTCATTTGACGAGGATTAACTTGCGATACCTTTCGCCACGCACTCGTTGATCTCGATTGGACGGACAGTGAAAAGCCGCAATCGAAGATGCGCTGTTCGGAATGTGGTTCAGGTGCGTCCTTGCGTAAGCGCACTTAGGTCTCTTCGGTTTGTAGCTCCCACGCTTGCTGGACAAGCAAGTGAATTAATGACGGATTAATCCGAATAACTTCGCCGTATACGGCTAATGGTGGCACGTATAATATTTGCCGAGGTGATTAATAACAGCTGATTGCCCCTTTCAGGGAAATCAGTTAATTGTCGATCGGTATGATTTTTAATTGGATTCGAAGAGCGCTCTCAATGTCCTTTGCGTGAACGCAAGTCTCGAAATATGTGGAGGACTCTTACAAGGTCCTGCGTGTGAATGTACCCGTTGTTTTGACATGCTTCATCGCTTGTTGAACTATTAATCGGGTATCAATCACGCTTTTAATTATGAGAGCGAATGGTTCAATTAATTGAGCTGCACTTCACATTATCTTAACGGAATAATTTCGATGACTGAATTTGTTCGTTTTACACGAAAAACAAATTTAGTTGAGATTCATTTGACAATAAACGAGCTAGATGCGTTTTCGTTGAGAGAAACAGGATTTCTGTCTTTTATGAAGCAAATTCAGCTCTGCGAACCAGAAATTCTGTTTCCTCCTACCAAAACATGTCTGATTCCTTCGAATTAATTCGAGCACACTTTTTTCTCCATTGAAACAAATGACAGATTTCAAGTGTAGAACGTCGATGATTAATCGCTACGACGACAACCCAATTAATTCTCATTTCAATCGGTTGAATCGACCAGCCACCACATTAATCGCGAGAGCAATGGATTATCGTCCCTCCTCCTGCCCGCTCAAACTGGTCCCAGTGAATCAGAGAATCCTGACTCAAGGCATTTCGTGCATCCGAACAAGGTCACATCCGATGATGACTCCTCCTGGTGATGATGTCGCGCAAACGGTAGCGTATTTCGTATCTATCTCGTCGATCGAGAGAAAGCCCGCGCTGCCTCGTCGATATATCGTGAGCGCGCGCGCTCACGTTTGCATTTCCGCTAATAGAATTCGGTAATGTATTCCTTGGATACGCTCGTTTCATAATATCGTGTCGTTAGGAATCCATTTTTAATGGACTTATTTATCGAACGACTACTACGCGTCCGAACTAACGCCATTCGTCTATCCGGAGGTAACTTTCTTCTGCTTAGTCCGTCGTGCTCTGTCATTGTTAATGAAGCAACAGGCGTTATAACACGTGCACCCGCGCGCGAGAGCCACTTTCATCTTCGTCGCCGCGGGGATCCTACTACCTCCCTCTTCCTCCCTGCCGATCACGGGTGGAGAATAGATTAGAATTGAAATGACAATTCGTAGATTCGATACATGAGACGCGAACGCGTCTCTGCTCTTAGACTGCTTGCCGTTCCTTTCAGATCTGCTCGACCAACATACACACACACACACACGCTTTTAGATATATAATAGCTCTGTAAATATTCTCTGTGGATATTTAGTTATCCCTTGAAATGGGAGAGTTCTGTTTAGTTTTGTTTTGATTTTCTCTTTTTTTCTTTTCGTTTGATGCTACAGCACCATTACGTGAAGCATGATTAACGCAATCTCTGTGTTCCTTCTTTTCTTTTTCTCTTTTAACGAAGAGTACATTCGTAACTCTCAGCATTGGAGCAGCAGGCAGCGTCCTGCGCGCAAGGATACCTTCCAAGAAGTATAAAGAGTCTTTTATCGGATTTAACCGTCCCACTTCTGGCGACGGAGTCGCGTACTCCTTATTTTAGCTGTAAATAATCCCGACTGATCCGGTTTGCAGCGAGTGCCGAATCGGCGAAGGAAATACCCGTAACCCGATTGCTCGAGGAAGCAACGCGCGTACCGATTCCTCGCGAAAGAAATCGGAGAACTTCTGTCTCCGAGGAGAAATATTCGATTTCTCCTTTAACAGGCAAAAAAATATTAGTGTTCTTAGAGAAACTGCGCTACATTAAATCGCATTACATTGTAAATTAGGAAAGTCATGTCTTCGTCGAAGAATCAATCGTTCTGAAGGGAAAGGCGTCGTTATTTATTCGGGTTCCAAAGCGCACGCTTGTCTCTCGGATTTACATGAAATGTAAATACGCGTTGGCGCCGTTGAAAGGGTTAAGGGTGATAGCAGCCCGAAATAAACGAGACTTCTGAAGTATGCGAAAGTCTGGACATGCTCCCGAGCCGGAGGCGAATTTGCCGATCTCGATGGTCGCTGATGGATTTATGAGAACCCGAAACCCAAGACCCGGTGAGAGTGAGTGCGGGGTGCGATAGCGTAAGACTTAATATAGAGCCACCGAATGATTTATTCGCGGTGGGCCCGCAATCAGCCCTATTCAAGCAAACAGTGCGTATATTTGGCCGCCTGTGACACTCGACCTAATTACACGTGCGAATTCGCGCGCGCGCGATTATGTAATTGCCTCCCCATAAACAAATCAGAGGCGAATTCGCCTGACCAAGTTCGAACGTTGATTCTTGCAGTAATGAAAATTGCACGGACAAAGAACAGTCGAATTTGTACTTTGCCGGACTGTAAATCCTCGACGTGACGTGCGCGTGATGTCCTTCCAGGATAGTCCTCTTTAGTCGACCAAGTTCGTTTATGGACGTGAAAAATTTTTAGACTGCGGAATGATGCTCGTCGTGCTTTGCGTTATGCATATTTCGTTTGCAGATTATATCAACGATTGTACATACAGGGAATCCCAGACCCAGCAAGCCACCTTTCATCGTATTCAAGTCAGTCCTTAATAGAAAGGTCACGACAGAGATGATCGTTCACAAGTTTTTAAGAGAATTATCCACATAACTTATGAGTATGTTGGGAAATTTATTTAGCAGATATATATTTTTAGGGCGCTCTCAAAGAGCGTGTATTCAATAATAAGAGAGCTACTCATAAATTCACTATTTATCAAATAAAATTACGTTTTCATATATTTATTTCACTATCCAAATATTAAGTGTTTATTTGGAACTAATTTCATAATCTTACCATATTTTATTCAGTACAATGCTATTCAGAAGCATAAAATAATAGTTTTCTGGCCTACAATCGACCGTTACAAAAGTCCGCTTGAAATTAAACTCAGTACGGTATTTTGCTTTCTGTTCACTTCCTTGAAGTTTGCTACTAAAAAAGCTCACTATTTTGTGACTTGCAAATGTCGCGGCATGTTCGTCGGACGAAAATCGATTCCATTCGAGTCGCGGTCGTGAAATCAGTAGATGAGGAATGAATTGTTCTTCTGTTAAATCTGGGGTGCCCTGTACAGTATGCACAGCGCGCAGGAAGGGCGCAGCATTGAAGCTTCCCACAAAAATTTTCAGCCACGCTTGTTGCCATTCCGCTAACAGCCGTGCGTTTCGCATGCCACTGGCGTTCCACGGGCAGTTCCTCACGATGCCGGCGAATTGATATGAATATTTACGCGTCGTTCGGAGTCCGCTCGTTCCTTACTCGTGATATCGTTGCTACAGATATGTAGGACTTGCGTAAAGCTGCATTCACAGTGGATTCACACTTACAATTTTGCATTCTTCAAATTCTTTGTGTTCTTCAAAATGTATCGTTTGCACGCGCACAGGTGCAGAAATAATAATATCTTACTTCCCTATGAACGATTATGAATTAATGTTGTCGGAAGTAATAAACGGGAGTACCTTCTATAACTGCTATTAAAATTCGCGGGTACTCAAATACTGCTCGAAACAATCGGAATCTCTCAGAAACTCTAGTAGTATTCAAGAATATTCAAATATTTGGTTATTAACATATTACTACAAATACCGTTTCATCAATTTGAAATGTAAAGAATTACCCAATGAAAACTGACTCAAATAAGAATATATTTTTGAGAACAAACCCTTACTTCTCGCAGAAGTGTTGCGAATATCATACATAGAGATCACTTCGATGTATCTATAATATCGAAAACCCTTTAAAATAATAACGTCGATCTCGAATCTCAGTATCGAATCTGTGGAGTGCATTCAAAGTACTTGTGAAGGTCGCTTGAAGAGAGACTCACGTAGGCGAGGGCACGGCGAGCGAGGAAATCTGGTGGCACGCTCCGATTCCGACCCGGAAATTCAAGTGGGTGAGGTAGGTGATGTCACCCGAGGTCCTGCTTCGAATTTTTCGAAGGCGTCGGTCCATCAACTCCACTCCACGCGAAACTACAGTTTCACCGCGCTTCGCGTAAAGAAGATAAAATATCATGGCGTATAATGGCGGTATCGCGCAAATATAAGTGACGGTTCTCTTCCTCTCCTTCTCTCTCTTTAGGTAAATTAAAATTTAAAATGAATCCGAACTGCAGACTTTCGGGATAAGACGCAACGCACGAAATATATAACATGTCGCGTAACATGTCACTATGAAACTTAATTAATTCTGATATGCCGAAGCTAAGAATGCATTCGATATCGGATACGTTTCACTTATCTTTTTTTAGCTCATTAGCAGCCAGCGTCTCACTTACGGGTGACTTCTTTTTTTATTGAACAAAATCTCTTACTTCATCAATTAAAATATAATTTTATTTTTACATTCTCAGAGAAAGCACCTAATCTTCCCAGTCATACCTGTATCTTCAACAAAAACAGTTCTAATACTAACTTCTCTCTAAAAAATAAATAGACTGATCCTTTAATTACAAATGTTTGTAAAATAATCGTAACTCTCAATGGATTAATAAAAATCTATGTGGCTCCAATTTTCTTACAGCTCTTTGCAATTTCTAGATAATAAATATCATATTAAGTGGTACCACGTAATCTTCTTCAGCTAATAGTTCTTTTCTTTTTTCTTCTCGAATAGAAAGGAAGAAAATAAAAATAGAATACTTAAATAAAGATACTTAAATAATATGTTTATATATATTGAAATTGAAAAGGGAGAAAGGGAGAGAAGAAAAAATAGTAGAGAGACGTAGAAAGTACAGGTAAAAGAAGCGAGCGTATACACGCAATTCCAAATTACGCAGGCACTCTTCTGACGCCTGCATTAATTCATGGTTAGGTAGCCAAATGCCGGAAATGTATCGGAATTTATCGTCATCTAGGTGAAAGAATGTGGGAGTAGGCATGACAAATTGATGTGCTAATATATGGAAGGAATTTGCCTCGGACGCCACACGGGAGATGGATTTTATTACCGGAGAAAGTGTTTGTCTGCTGTACCTAAGTTCTGTTCGTTTTCGGGTGCACCTTCGTGCAGCTTCTCTTCTTTTTTTTATTTCTCCCACATTTAAAACAAAACAAGCGATAAAATATATTTGTTTGTGTTTCAACAGGAGAGGAAAGAGCAGAAATGCGAGAGGGTGCAGAGGGAACACGATTGAAATGTACTGATGTAACGATATCATTATCGTTATCTTAACCGCCGCATTTGGGATTGGCCAAAACAGCCGATACGTAACTTCTCTGCTACTAACACGCGCCATCATATGAATTTCCCTTTTTCGCGACAATTTATATGCGTGACGTCACGCCTTACGTCGAGAGACCTAAGCGTGGGTTTATCTCATGAGCTTGGCGAGGTGCAGTTAAATCATTGTCTTTGCGAGAAGGTTAAGGACCCACGCCATTAGGGTGGGCAAACCGGTTTGATGGAATCCTTTGTAACGTGGAATTGCTTCAGGAAACCCACAAAAGTTGTTTTTTTTAACCGCTGACCAACACCAACGGAATTGTCGTAAACTCAGCTTTTCGGAACGATGAGTGTAGACGCTCTCTCACGTACGTTATATCAGTTGAATCTGCCCGCCGAATTCTCCTAGGGGCACGCAGATTCACACCGAAATCTTTCCGGAATCTTGACGGTTCCGTCAGTTGCGTAATCCAGGCTTACGATCTAGCTGCGATAAATTCACGCGACTTGTCGCGTAAAAGAGTTCTTTGGTCGTCATGAATTTTAATTTACTTACTCAACTGTAACTTATAGGGTACTAAGAGAGAGGTGGGCAGATTATATCAGAGTAACTTCGATTTCTTTTCATTTACGTCTGCGTCTGTCTATTCTGAAAATTTGATTTTCTTTTATATCGATTACATTTGTGTTAATATCAATAATTTAATCTTCTAATACGTATTACGTAATAATAACAATTAATAATAAAGAAACAATAAAACTTGTATTAAAACTTATCGATCTTCGCTCGTCTATATTTAATTATATAGAATAATGAGAGGAAGGATTTTATTATGCATGATCATTATATATTATCCTGTAAACCTGTTTTTTGGATATCAAATTACCGCATCAGAATTAGTAATTCTGACGTGAGCGTGTAAATTCGCTTCTCTTTTGTTTCTTATGAGTTTTAGGCGTATCCTTAAGTGTGTAATTTGTAGATTAAGATGCAGAGATAATAATGTGGAAAATAACACTGTCGGTATAAATCTTAAGTAAGTTTAGGTGTCTTCAATGTCCAGTACTCTATTTATACAATTATAGTACTATATTTATCGGGTACTCAAAATACCGAGTGTTGTTCCCAGATGTTACATTGTAAACTCTTCTATAAAAAAAAGACTCAATATTTTTACATCATTTGTATCGCATATTTCTTACATTTTTCTTTTCTTTTTTTTCTTCCAACTAAATAATACAATAAAATATTCTTCTCTCGAACGTTGAATCAATAACTTTTTTTTTTTTTACTAAAACTCTGCAGATTATAAATATAACCAGTAACAATTATATTTATTTCCATAATCTGCAATCCTCACTGTATCTGTATTAATAATCATTAATAATTATATCATCGGAGTAATTACTGCTGTAATTAATACAATCTATATTTTTTGATTAAAGATACTGACGAGCGTTGTTAATAAAAGATATACAGAATTCACGTATAAATCTAAGGTAGATGAAGCATGCAAAAATAAATTCATTGGGACATCACGTTACTTTGTTCCTGCTAAGGTCATGACTTGTAAGGAGATGTGAGACGCCGACCGCCTGACCGATCCATTACATGGATCGAGCACATTCGCTCCGCATTTGAACAACACCGCGACTGGTCTCACACGTGAACAAATGTAGGTTGTTACTACAATGGCATGAGCGGCATCAAATCAAGAAAAGAATCTTCAAAACTTGTGTGTTAAAAACTACTAATTCATATTTACTGTACTAATTCATATTTCTTTTAATAACTTTTTATTTTCTTGAATAAAAATAATGTACAATTTATTTAAATTAATATTTGATATTAGTAAATTTTTTTAACAAATTATCAGTAATAAGTAATAGCATGTTGTCTAATAAATTCTTGTATTTCTAATAAAGGCTTGTAAATAAATTCTTTATCTCTTAGAATACATTAACCAAATCATATCGCAGCTGATTCTTCAGTGAAACACTCCACAGGGATATTTCCAATCCTTTTTTTCTATAACATTTTTTCTATTACATTTAAGATGTAATGACGTATTATACACAATATACACATTTTTCACCTGAAATTAAAATGTATTGATATTTTAATATAATAAAACTTTATATAATAAAATTATATATTATAATTTATGAATTTCTTATTTTTATTCTGAACATCGTTTACATTTTATTCTCTAATATTTTTTTAAATTTTATAGTCAGTCATTATTCCCCTATGGCTAATTACTCAAAATTGATTAGTCTGTCATCTTTTATAAATAATCTCGAATCATTTTTTAAATTATTAAAATTATATGATTATTATATGTCATCTTTTCTCTCACTAACATGAAACGAGAATTTCAATCAAAACCGCTCTCTGTAGTTCTCCAGAGTCATCTATCGGTGTTGCATGAAAGAACTCGAATAGTTAACGAATGGTAACTTGAACAACTACTTGGCGCCATACAGCGGTACAGCGCGAAAATATTAGACATATAGCTAAAATCTTTGTTTATTTTCGAAAAATACGATTCAACAATGAATCAAAAGACTCTTTTATTTTTAATATCAGCAGCGGAACAGATGAATGTTTCTTTCCTATTCATTAACTAGAAAGAGCAGTCTTTCATTTTATTTAAGTCTAACATCGTCCATCTTTACCCACCGTTGATATAAATCAGATGCTAATGTAGCGTTGATTTGTGGCGATAGCGTCGATCTGTCTTACGTGTAATTTCTGCTAGCCAGCATCCTGTGATCTCCGTCAATGTATTAATTACCTGTGCCTTAATTTAATTTGGAATCATGTTCTGGCCAATACACTGTGCGTGCAGTTGCGTTAACATTTGAATGTTTTTTCCGCAAATACGATGATGTCTAAATCAAAAGCAACACATAACCTCAATCAGTGGGATCAGTTCGACAATCCTTTGGCCCCGTTGACGGAATGTCAAAAAGATTGCCTATCAAGCCTAGAAACTATCATCACTTCTCACTTTCCATCATCGAATTCACAAACCAGCTTGATCAGTGATGATGACGAGAAAATCCAGCAAGACTCACAGGAGAACACTCTTCCCATAGAGAGGTATCAAGAGTTGCTTCAGCATTATTTGTCTTTAGAGAAAAAGTACGTGTCAATGTACGACATGAAATACAATCTGTACCTTAACGAGCTCAAGTTGAGGAGATCTGAGTGTGAAGAGGTTTGCTCACAGATAGAGGAGGCACTAAACGACTTCTCTACATTGTACAAGCAGTACACCGAGGTGTCTGGCAAGACCACCTCTCTGTATGAGGCCAGTGAACAGCTGATCTCTGACCAGAAGCAGCTGAACACGACAATCGACAGCATCACAGAATATGTGAAGTACTTCAAAGAAATTGACCTGATCACAGAGAAGCTGGATGCACCCACACTGTCGGTCAACAGCGACATGTTCTTCAGCATATTGGACAAGATCGACACTAACATCAACTTCATGCAGAGCAACTCGTCGTACAACGAGAGTGGAGTCTATCTGATACGTTACAGACACTGTCAGTCAAAGGCAATCGCGCTGATACAAAATTACGTCTTTGGTCTGTTCTCCAAGACCACAGAAAGCATCCTGAACCTGAAGGACAACGAGGGCACGCCGGAGAACGCGGACGCGGCCTTGGCGCTGTTCTATGGCAGATTCCAGACGATCCTGTCGAAGACACGGCCGGTGATCGAGCAGGTCGAGAGCAAGTCGTACAAGAGGCAAGAGTACGACAGCCTGCTGCTAGAATGTCAGCAGTACTACTGGAGCCAGCGTGGCTTGGTGTTGGGCGCGAGTATACAGAAGTCCCTGAGCTCTGTCAGAGAGAAATACAACGGCGACCACTGCAGCCTCGTGCGGCACTCGTGCGCGTTGCTCCTGCACGCGTCCATAGACGAGCACCGGCTGTTCTATGAATTTTTTTCCAAACAATCGAGCGGACTGACCGCGTACCTAGAGAGCCTGTGCACCTCGTTGTACGACGCTCTGAGGCCCTTCATCATACACATCAATCATCTGGAGACGTTGGCGGAGATCTGCTGCATCCTTCGGATTGAAATGTTGGACGAGCATGTGCAGAACAACTTCGAGCCGTTGGAGGGCTTCGGCAACATCTGCCTGCAGCTGTTGCACGACGTGCAAGAGCGACTGGTGTTCCGTGCTCATCTGTACCTGCAATCCGACGTGCTCAACTACAACCCGTCGGCGGGCGACCTGGCCTACCCGGAGAAGCTGCGGATGATGGAGGATATCGCGGAGTCGATCCGGGAAGAGACTCGGCAGACTCGCATGAAGAAGATCTCGGTGTCGTCTGCCGACAGCTCCGCCCTTGAACCTGTGTCGCGCAATCACATTGTCATCGATTCCATCTACCAGAAGACGCACATGGGCAACTCGCCGGCGGACTTGCACGGCATGTGGTATCCCACGGTTCGCAGGACTCTCGTATGCCTGTCGAGACTCTACCGTTGTGTGGATAGGTCGGTATTCCAGTCGCTGAGCCAGGAGGCGATCTCCCTCTGCGTCCAGAGCATCGAGAACGCCAGGCAGGAGATCGAGAGGAGAGCGAGCACTTTGGACGCCGAGCTATTTCAGATCAAGCATTTGTTGATCCTCCGAGAGCAAATCGCCCCTTTCCAGGTCGACTTCACCATCAAAGAGTACAGCCTGGACTTCTCCAAGGTGAAAACGGCTGCGTTCGGACTGCTGGAGAAGAGCTCCCGGCTGTTCACTTTGTCGAACAACGCATTGCTGCAGTTTCTTTTGGAGGGCGCGCCTCAGATGAAGGAGCAGCTCATTGACTCGAGGAAGCATGTGGACGCGAAGTTGAAGTTCACGTGTCAGCAGTTGATACAGCACGCGACTTACTTGCTGGTTTACCCTATTGTGAAGTTGCTGGAGAAGGACAAGTTGCTCGACGCGAGCTCAAGCCAGGAAAACACGCTAGGCAGCGCACAAGAAGTGGCGACCGCAGTAGCCGATGTGCTGAGAATAATCAAGTTCAAGTGCCCCGAGATACAGCAGTCGATGCAGCTGTACTTGGCCAACAAGGAGACCGAGTTCATTCTGTTCAAACCTGTGAAGAATAACATTTGCGCCGCGTTCACGCAGTTGCACCAAATATTGAGCAAGTATTACAACGCGGAGGACCTTCAGTTGATCGCGTGTCCATTGCCTGAGCAGATTTCCGTTATGCTGAGCTCCACCACGCTGATTCAGGGCAAGTCGAATCGAGATGCGCAAGCCTCTTTAAAGAGATCGCAATCGATTAATAAACAAGATATTTAAATTACAAGAGCCCAAAGTCTTTCGATTGTATTTTATTGTCATCCGTTGTACTTGTATTTTCGAAGTTAAATAAGCGATTTTAATACTGTCAGTATAAGCCGAGTAGTTTCTACAGTCGCGTATCCTATACTCCAAAATCTGCAAATAATTAGATAGTTACTCGAAATAAAAAATCCTAAATAATAACGGGACAATATCTCTCGATTTTTATCGATTTTTGCAGCAGCCAATTTCGCATGAGCTAATATTGTCCATTGTTTTTCGAAGATATTGTATATATTAATCATAGTGTTTAAGTAGTTTGCAAAATATTCAACAAATGCTCGAAAGATTCGGGTATTGGAGTAGCACTCAAGTTCTCGGTTCCTCAATATTGATACCATTATCTAGAACGAGATAGATAAATAGGATGAAATAAATAGAATAATATAGCGCAATTGTACAAAGTACAGTAATATACAGAACATTTATAAGTTTTTTAAAAGTCAATGTAGAGATAATAGTGTAAAAAGCAATTTTAATTATTTTTCTCTTATGATACATAAATAATTTATAGATAAATAAAACATAGATAAATAAAATCTGTTGATAATATTTTTCTATCTTACATATATTACTCTTATAATAGAATACTTGTTACTTTATTAATAGAAATATTAATTATAATTATTATAATTATTAATAGAAAAAATGGTGATAATAATATGGAACTCTTGTTCCCTGTTTTTAAAATCTATATTAATTATTCAATTAACATTTCTATCTCAATAAAAAATCACTAAGTTATAATTATTTTTATATTCTAAAATTTGAGCAAGATTAAATATATACTATTTGGAGTAATTGATTTTCTTATGTTAACATTTGGGATATTTAAAAATCTTACATGAAATTACATGTTACGAACAAGTTTCTTATTATCACTATTTTCTCTAAGTTTTATTAAAAAAAAATGATACAACCACCGATCTAGCGTTGATAAGGAAGAGAGAAATGTGCTATCTGTTATATAAATACATTATATATTTTTTCGTTTCTTTATTATTATGGATAATTTTAATATTGTAAATCTTTAAGTACGCACGAATACATTAATACATAGAATCAAGTTGTTAGGATATATCACTACAATTCACTTTATAGGAGGATATATTTGTTAAAATATACACTAAATTTAACTTGACAAACATTGATAATTGCGTGATAAGATTCGATGGTTCTACAAAAACTGATATCTTTTTATAAGGGGAGAATAAACAATGGATTTTAATCGTGGATATTTACCTACCCGTTACATTCACGTTTTTGTGCGTATTTGAATGATGGAAATGTTGACTCGTAAACCAAAAGTGTGCGAAAATGGTGATTACTATAGCTATAACTAGGGCAGTCCACAAAACCCAGAATAATAATAAACGAAACGTCATGCAAATTGGGCTTGAAACGTTATATTTCAGATCTTCTCCCTTAACACTCCCTGAAATAGTAATATTTGTCTTTTAATGCTGGATTTTTATTTGTTATCTATATTATGTATTAGTTGCTTCTAATATTTTACATAAAAAGTTATACCTGTTTTTACTCTACAAGATTTCTACAAGTTAAATTTTTCAAACAGCATATGATAAGATTTCACGAACCTTTGGTGTTTTTCCTTTTCACATTATCGAAGATAATCAGAGGTATGGCGTCATAAAGCGGTTTTTCCTGAGCGAAAACAGATTTTTCCTGCAGCTCCATTTTGTCCTCCTTTCCAATCACGGCAATAGCACAATAATTTACAGAGAGACGTCTGAACGATCTTAATTGAACGCCCACATTTTGCTTCTTCTTGTGTTCTCAATATTCACGAGCCTGCCGGCGCAAACGGATCGTTGTTTTTATAACAGCAAAATAAGTCATGCAAGCAGAAGATAAGCACGTGCGCACACGAGATTTATAAGCGAAATACCAATTAACTTCGCGTTACGTGTGCTCATTGCCGTCACAATTATATGTTGGGTCTATTCTCATTAATTGAAGAAATACACTGCGATAGCGCGTAATCGGAGCAGTCACTTTGGAACAGGGTCAACTTCAATCTGCCGCGACGACATTCTCCTTGGACTCATCGTCAGAAGAAAATACGCTGTCTTTAACAGCAAACCACGCAGAATCGCATAAAGCTGCATAAAGTCCAGAACGATGTTTCAACGTCTCTCCAAGAAAAGGAGACTCACTGGTCACATTTCACACTAAAATCGAAAGAAAGAACCACGAACGTGCGATTTGTTACCGTATGACTCGCTCCTCTTGTTCGTCTTTGTATACAATCGCGATCGATGTTGATCGGCCGATACTGCCACGGAGAATAGATTACCAGTGGAGTGTTCGCTACGTAAATATCGCTATTATTACAAACTCATTCGCTGGTATGCACACCTGGTGATCTCAAGTGACCTCCGTGGACATATGGCTTCACGCTTTTCTTAGCTCTCAACGTGAGTCACTATTTAAAGCAGTCTCTGTTCTGCTATTATTGCCATTAGAAAAGCTTCTTAACTCTTTCAAAAGAGAGAAAAAGAAAGAGAGAGAGAGAGAAAGATGTTCAAACTAGTGAGAAATAATCTCTTCCGCGAGAAGTCTTAATCCACCGAGGATTGACAATCGCAAAGATTTTCATTAAGCCGCACTTGGCGCTTTAATTCTCTAATAATTTCTATTAATATCTGGGCCATTAGACAGACAGCTCTTATCAATGTTACACTTGAAACATCGCGCTATTTTCGAAACATCGACCCCGCTAATCTGCTTAATATTATTTAAAGTCAAAGACAAGGTAACTCGTTTCTAAATTGGCCCAACTTTGAATTTCTGTATTATAATATATTTCGATCAGCAAGAAACGCGTAACAAAATTAATTGGAATATAATCGGATATCTGTCGTTGCTTATGTAATCTTTATTGTACAAATATTTATCTTCTAAGTTATACTTTTAAAATCTGCACGATATTATCACAGTTATCACGAGGCTCATTGCTACATGTAGCACAGACGGGAAACACGGTGCTGCACGATTGTTTTTTTTCGTTGTGCTCTCTTCCGGCTTCCTGGTCGTCGAAGTCCTTTTCTTTGTCGTATCGTCGGAGGTCGTTCCCTTGGTGGGAACAGTCGACTCGGTTGTAATGGGTGTAGTGGAATTTTCATCCGTGACGTTGGGCGTAATTGTTGCTGAAATATGATTAATAATAAGTGACGTTGCTGACTGATGAAACTGATAAACATCGATAAACTGCTCTAATTGCATTTCAAAGATACGTACATGTGCTGCTTGTAGTTGATGTAGACGTCCTTTCTCCTTCTTCGCCTCTCAACACAAGTGCAGCATTTGCTGTTAATATCAAGTTGTCCCTCAATATAGTCCCTCTGAAAAGATATGATGATTTACAAAGTGTTTTACAACAATTGTGCGAAATGTTATAAGAACAAATAGAAAAAGGTAAGAGACATACGTGACGTGAAGTGCGTTGCTGGAAGCCACAACGGTATCTAGAGTGGCCTTCAAATTGGGATATATCGAAGTTAAATTAACCATTTCTTGTCGAATTCCCAGATTGATCACGACAATGTATACCGGATGATTTTCCAGGAATCTGATTATCAATTAAAGATAAAATTCAGTACAAAAACGGTGTGCACCTTCTTTCACACAATCTTCATTGTTATCTTTTCCTCATTTTATTATTTATTACGTTCATTTTATTATGCTCATTACTAACCTTCTCAGCACCAATACGCGATCATTATTCAAACTGGCGAATTCGTGATTCCCATCCGTGAAAACGGACTTCCTCCTGAGAGCAGCTAGCTTTTTGTACGTTTGCAGATTGCTTCTCTCTTCTCTCAGCTGTGTTTCTACGTTTCTACGAATATAATTGGAGTGTACAGGAAGATATGTGGTGTCGTTTGTCGAAAAACCAGCTGATTCTGCGGAATTCCATTGCATGGGAGTTCTCGCCGGATCCCTCGAGAAACGCTCGAATTCCTTTTCGCCTTTGGAGCAACCCATAGGATCAATAGTTCTGCTCCAAGGTATCTTCGTGTCCAGCATAGCTATCTCTTCGCCATAATACGTGTACGCTTGTCCGGGCAAGAGGAGACTGAGCATATGAAGACCATCCATTCGGTTGAGGCCAATTCTTGAAGCTGCTCTTGAGTTGTCATGGTTCGAAAGCTGCACTTATAAAGAGTAACAATTAACACAAAGAAGCCTGCGATGCGGCAATTAAATAATCGATATCACGCACTTACCACCCAGTTGGTGCTAGTATTTATTGGTAGAAGTTGGAGCCACGAATCTAAGACTTTCTTAATATAGTCAGCTTTGCTGCTATTGCGAATATGCGTAATGAATTTAAAATTGAATGGTGGAATTCCTTCGTGCGTGCCATTGCCGTAATATTCCACTAAATTGACGTCGGAATCGTACGATTCTGCGATTAATAATCTATAATGCCAAAATTATGTCACATCAATATTCATAAATCGAATTATTGTGATAATCAAGTGACGTTAAAATAGTAATGAAGAAATGATCTTAATGAGTATTCTGGAAACGTCAGTCACATACTTCGACATGGCATTATTTATTGACACCCAGTCATCGATATATTCGCGAAATCTGTAAAGGAGAGCGGTGCTTTCGGGAAGACCGTAAGTGTAAGCGCCATTTCCTGTAAGAGGTTCGTCTCGCAAGTCTTCGTCCTCAAAAAAATATGGCACTGCGTTAATCCGGAAGCCGTCGACGTCTCTTTGCAGCCAGAATTTGAATACATCCTGTTTACAGGGATTAATTATTAAAATTAAGTATTTAGATTTATATGACGAAGGATATGTTGCAACTTTTAATTGTCGGTGCAGATTTAAAAAGATTACAATCTTACGTCTCCTTTTTCTCTCAATGAAATTTTTGTTTGAATCATTTCAAATTAACAGAAGCATGATTAAATGTTTGGTTATCATATTAAATACGCTACCATTAGTTCCTTGATCACTCTCTCGTTTCTCAAATTCAAATCCGGTTGGGAACTGTGAAATTTATGGTAATACCATTGTCGTCTACCATCGTGCCACGTCCATGCAGATCCTTTTTCATCGCTATATGTGCTCAACTGCATAAAAGTGACGAAACAATTATTTTCGCTGCTAAATGTGACTCGTGACGTCGAATCGATCGCTAATTAAAGTGAGGAAAATTCGCCCTTCATTTTGCCAGACGAGAAAATTGTATTACATTACGTAAACGATACGATACGAATTGGAAAAAATATACCCAGTTAGTCGGCGGGATATTTTTGCCGTCGGTGCTCCCATTAGCCCAGATGTAATAGTTGGTATATGGCTCCACATTTTCTGCTGACAGCTGGAACCATTTGTGCTGATCGCTGGAATGATTCGGGACAACATCCAGAATGACTTTCAGTCCTGAAAAGTGCCGCAATGTTGAATGTCAAAATAATGTCAAATCATTTTACGTGAGAATTCACCGATTATTTTGAAAGATAGAAGACATTAATTTTCAGCAGTGTGTACACCTGAATATCATACCACGCTTGTGTGATTCCCGCACTAAATTGTCAAAGTCGTTCAAATCGCCGAATAGAGCATGTATGTCCGTATAATTGGAGACATCGTAGCCCGAGTCAATCAGTGGTGAAGAGTAAACGGGACTTAACCAAATAGTCTCGACTCCGAGGTCCTGGATATAACCGAGTCTATTAATAATGCCTGTGAACAAGTAAAAGCATTATTGTGTTCATATTATTGTAATAATATTGTAATATTAATATTGTGTTGTTTGTTGTTGTATTCATATTATTATAATTTTTTATTTTTATAATTTTTTATGCATTCCCTGACATTTTATTTTTGGTTTTCGTTTATCATACACCTTATTTTATTTATTGTAAAACAACGCAATTTTCGGAATTCATGTTTATTTGTATGTATGTGTTCGGTGAAAGTTCAAATCGAAATGTAATTTTCCACTGGCGACGTTATTTCATCACCGTAACTCACCCTTCAGATCACCCTCGCCGTTGCCGTCGCTATCTTGAAACCCTCTAGGCCAGATCTGATAAACTAATGTAGTTTCCCACCATTTCTTATCTGTGAGTCCCACACTATCCATTTTAGTCGTGAAAAGTGTTAGAGCGCTTATCAACACCACGTGCCGTGTCACAACCAACATTGTGCATTAGTTTCGGCTAATTCTCTCATACGTTCTGCTTCGCAAACTTATTCGATGTTGTATCAGAAATAAAATGCTTAAAAATTAAAAACTCATTAATAAAATGTCTCAAGGACCCGAGAAGATAAAAATATTGGCGACAAAGCGTTAACTTTGACTTTTACTGGCGTCAGAATTGTGATCAAGTTCGCGACACCCATCTGTCCCTGAAGGAACTTACCTGGAATGATGATTTTCATTGAATTTGAACTACTTGGGTTTTCCTTGCTGGCAATTGCTTGGCCTGCACTTCTGCTCGATCGGGTCAAAATGGAATCTGAATGTTTTTTCGCGCTCCCGTGTCGGTTCTCGACGTCGTCTCTTCGAGGTCGGCGAGAAAAATGGGGCGCTGAAAATTACACAGCGAACAGCAACGTAGATAACTGTGTTATCTATGTCTCAGCTCCGCTTGTCGCTCTCGTTGTAATTTAGAGTAGGGATGCGCTTAGACTTCAAGACCCGAAAGTCATATCTTCGGCGTTTGCTCTTGAAAAAAATATTACTCTATTTTTTGCGTTCATATTATTACAATCCTTTTTGCACATCCTAATATCTTATTTTTGGCTCCTGTTTATCGTACGTCTTATTTTCTTTACTCTACAACAACACGATTTGTAGTAATAGTGACATTAATAACGACACAATAAGAAGTGCAACTTATATCGTGATAATATGTTTATTTTGTTATGCAATTGTCGTTACCAGCGGATCTGTTGTTCGCGCGTTTATTGCACGGCGTCGTTACGCTGCGTTACGTCTGTACGTCATAAAAATCCGACAGAAAATAACGGGACAATTTAATCGCGGCGGAACGTCAGGGGTTAATTCGCCTGTTATCTCTCTGGCCATTTAAAAACACCGTATCTATGTTTATTCGCTCGCTGATTTCCCTTCGCTCTCCTCTCGCCCCTCCGAAGACGTAATAATAAACGGTATCGCGTATTCCGTGACAGTTGTTGCAGCGTAACACAGTTGACGCATACACAGCGGCTGATTCAACGCGCATGCGACAACATGGTGTATTTTGTTTTCATCGCCGCGCGATGCTTTAATGCCATCGCGAAAGATAGTGAAAATTAATCGATTCGAGAGATTTAATATTGCGATTGAATTCACTTTGCATGTCAATAAATTTATAACAATTTCTCCGTCACGATCGATCGTTTGTTCATTAGAAACACGCGAAAATAAATTCCCGCCCGTATCGGGATAATGTTGCATTATCCCTGCGACTGACCTCAAATTGTCGTAATTATTAGCGGCTAGTGCCGCTTAATCGATGCATTAGTCCACCGAGAATCGCAAAAAATCACGCACGATTATATCTCGAGTACTAATCGCAAATTTATCGCCGTATAACGCCGTGTTCTTTGTATTTCCATAATAATAATAACGAAAAGAATTTGTTCGTGTAATTTAACGTAATAACACAGCAACGAAAAACAATAAATGCAAAAGTCGACTAAATTACACGTAAATCTTGTGAAAAAATCAACAGTACGGAAACGGATCGATCCGAACAATGATAGTTTCGATATTAAACGTGATCAAATAGCTGGAAAAAGATGAATATACAACTTTATTCTATGTAATCGTGATTTATAGATAGTTAGATTCCCAGAGCGGCGAGCAGATCAAAGCCATCACGTTATCGTCGAATTGCGTACATTAAACGCTCGACACGAAAATCTCTTTAGTGATAATGCGACAATTAAGTGTATTGGCATGATAATCGTCAATATCGACCGCTTATACTTATTTACCGAGATCGATTCGGGAACAACCGACCGAATTGTGTGGTAAATTGTGACGCAAATCATATTACGTGGTTAGTGAAGTATCATGTACATTCCTATCAAACTGTCACCACGAACGAAGTCATCGTCCAAATTACTCAATCATATAAATGCCTGATTTTATTAATACGCCGACAAAATTAATACTGTTAGCATAAATCGATTGATGTACGCCAACATTGTTATTAGCATATAACCGAGTGTGCTTATTCGATACTCAACCTCGCGAATCTCTCTGACCCGAGAACTCGAGTGCTCACACATAAAAGCAAATATCTATTTGTCATCTGTTATAGACTTTTGCAGCTGCTTTCATAGCAACGAATTTTGTTTTTTGTTCTTCCACGATATTGCCCGAACTGATCGCGGTGTTTGGATACTCGATAGTTTGCAAAATAATAGTAAGAAATAATAACATAATAAGTGCAAAATAATGTATTCTGAGAAAAAACGTAGACTTTGATATTTAAGTTGAATACAGAGACATTAACAATACTAAACAAAATTCGCCGACAAATTTCGACAAGAATTCATGTTATTTTATATTTTGCAAATGAGGACGGAATATAGTACGGCGAATCGATCGACTCGCTGGGTGTTTAGTATTTTTAAGATGCTGCGTCGTCGTGTTGTGAGTGACGCTATTGTCTCCTGGCACAATGCAGTCGTTTCGACGCCGATCGACTCTTTTCAAAAAACAATTGGTAACTTTGCCATGTACAAAAGCTGCGGCACAACAAACGAAGGCTAATTGTTTCGGAAGCAATTAACACTCTATCCAACTCCCGAGCACATCTCAATGGATTGTATATTGTGTCTTCGTTTATAATACGACGTTACACCTTTGCTAAACAGTTTGGCGTGGAATTGATATAAAGGGTGAAATAATTATATCTCTTTCTCTTTCAAAATGTAAAACAAAAATGTCGATTTACCGGTCAGTTATCACGTAGGGGCAGTTGACATCGTATGTTCAATGAACATGCGTTTGATGTAAATAACATTTAATGTTTGTATATTTTGCACTTTCTCGTCAATTACAATTAATTGATTCTTAGTCGGCCGCGTCTCTCTTTTACATCGCGTCTCGCATTTCGCAATTCTTATCCAGCAACGGACGAAGCTGTCAGCATAAAACTGCGATATAACTTCCTAAGGTATGTGTGTCGCTTCTACACAGTCACACTTAAAATTGTCCTTAATAACTAGAAATTAATTAGTTCACAATTAAGAAATACACGATTTTTGCAACATAACACAATTAATTAAATTGATCACAAATATTTCAGGAAATATAACAAACTAAACACACTTTTACGCCATTTTGTCGTTTCTACGTAGAAAAATTTCTTGTTTGATGACAACTAAATATAATATACAAGAACGGTGTAAATGTTTTATAATAATTTATAACACATGAAATTATTTTTTAAAGATAAAATTTTCAACGTTTAAGAAATAATATTGGTAATATTATTATAGTATATTACTATGATATAATATAATAACATTATAAGTATTACTATTATTATCGATTAGCAACATTTTACTCTAAAAGCCAATCAGCAATCGGAAGAAACGAGCAATTTAATAAGAACTTATTAAGCAGCTTTCCGATGTACTTAAAGTAGGAAACTTAACCCTGAACAATATCTCTATTATGCTTTTTAACTGGAAATAATCAATAATGTCTCATGATCTTTTAATTAATTCAAGATATTCGGTGTCGCATAATTTTTCAAATTATTATGTTTAAAGAAATGTTCGTCTTTTAAGGTACCAGCAAGATTTCGCGATATATTCTTTTAAAACGTTTAATATTATTATACTTGATTTTTTCCATCGCTGCTCTCTCGATCGTCTCTGCGAAAGTCTCTGGATGTCTCGTTGCTGGTTCTCGTCGTAAACAGACACCTCTTTATTCCCTTCGCTTGGCTACACGGCTTCCTCATGATTCCCGTAAGATTTGTTAACGAATTATCAATTACATCAACAATGTAACACACTTTACTCAGCCGCTCGCTATTCGCACCATTACCGAGACCGATTCTGAATTTCTTCAGGCTTCAATTAACTGTCGGATGTTCACTTATCAGCGGATAACACCTCCTTCCTCAACTTCTTCGTTCAACTTCGTGAAACAAATTATCAAGAGGACAAACTCTTCTTTTATGCTTATTTCAGCTTTGATCACACTTTCGGATATAGTTATCGGCTGATAAATACACCTCTATCTTTCCTTGGGTTACGACATTTCTCCTCAATGTGGAGACACAGCGCGTGATTACGCGTTACCTAAGCCACGAACTGATTTTTAATCCTACAACTTATAAACCGTACCTTGTCGACATTTGTTGACTCATAAGTATCAATAATATAAAAAATGGACCCAAAAATTAAAGCACGTCACTCATATCACGTGATCCACGCCTTATCAGCGGACGAACACGAAGGTAAGGCGCGATTAACATGGCTAAAGTTGCGTGACATTAAATTATACGCATGTAAAGTATGCGTTTACGCGAAAGTTTCCCCCTACAGTGTCACACAACATTTGTGCTACTAACGATCGATGTAACTCTGACTCAGCGAGAACAGAAATGGCAAACAAGTAACGGGAGGGCACACAGCTGGAAAAAAATCTGAATTTCATTGTTGACTGCTTATAAGCTACCGTTGACTATGGCTTAAAGTGGCTTAAGTTTTATCGAGATCCATCACGGAGATTACTTCCGGCGTGGATCTCGGCAATTGATCGAACAACGAGGATAATCGAGGCCTCTAAACGACCTGCGAAGAGAAAACGGTCAACGAAACGGCGAACGTCGACTGGTTGAACGGAAAGAAAGATGTCAAGGACGATAATCGTGCGATCGCCGCGCCGGGTTGGGATGTCTCTTTGCCCGAAGGGGATAAACCGTCCAGAATCGAAACGCAAATCCCATAATATATCCGGATGTGCGCATCGAAGTGCAACAAAGTTGCTCGCCGAATTTCAGCGGCGGCAGGATTAATTTTGGAGAATTCGTATATATGTGTGTTTTAAATGAACGCGACTTCAAGCATGTATATTCAATCAGTACCGAGCAAATATAAACTAACAAAATGTCAGAGTAACTTTCAACACTGTAAATCAAAGTATACTATTTTTAGACGTATAAGCGTGCAATTTGGCTGAAGCACTTTTACACGTTTTAAATTACATTACTTAACACGTTTAAAACGTAAATTATTTAACGCGTCTAAACGTGTTAAGTAATGTGACTTAAAGCGGTAAGAAATGTGTAAAAAGAAATTCGTCTAATAACATACTTGGATTGACAAAAATGTTCTAATAATAAATTACAAAGTCTGAGCAACATTCGCAAATGTTTGAATGCCTAAATTATCTTTTACGTACGTATAGAGTTTATAGATATTTCAAGTGTAAAAATTTTAAATATAAAAACTTATGTAAAGAATGCTATTTCTGATAAAAAACAAATACGCATACATCTGTTTCATTGTTACAGCTTTATCACATCATTTTAGATTGGGTAATTACCGGTCTGCAATTATCTCGATATCGTCATGGACGTTCTTTCCGTATCAACCGCGCGATCGCGTTGTAACATTGTAAAATTAGCAATGTTTATTTACAAGTGAGAGAGATATATATACAGAGGGTGTCCCATTTTTTAAACAGATCAGCTGAATATCTCAGAAACTGAGCCCGACAGACAAACATGTTTCAAACAAAATTCAACCCCATTTATGGGGTTTTATGGTCATGTGGGAGTGCACTTTGCTTTTTAAATAGAAAATAATATTTCTTGTTGCAGATTCTAAGAAAAACCATTCAACTCTGTGTAGAAAATTCCTAAAACGTATATAACCCAAGTCCATTAGTTTTGAAGTTATTCAGCAATGAAAAATACAACTTTGCTAATTTAAAACGAAAGACCCTCTGTATAATATATCACACACTAAAGAATACTAGTACAAACTTTATGTTCTCTTCTATTTGCACAAATCTTAATGAATACTGTCGATTGATGATATTAATCGACAGTATTTATCAAGATTTGCGCAAAAGGAAATACAAAGTTTGTGTTGGTGTTCTTTTGGTATATGAGATATCTATATCTTTCTATATATATTATCTCTCTCTATATTAGCTATACTCGTAACAATCTTCGGACAGATGGCCCTGATGAAGAGGAAGAGGAAGGAATACGGACTATAATTCCCATAACGTTCTATTTCGTAGATATTAGGCAATAACATAACAGTACGTGTATATACACGTGTATGCACGTGTACTGGCGAGCAGTATGCTTTTGTATGTTTCGCTTATACGGTATAAAACTCACATACAACGTGCGATTTCTCCGCCTGCCATTCAATGGTGGCAGCTAATAATTAATTAACCGTAGACATTCCACATGGAAAAGAAGATTTGGTTCGATTAACTAAATGTCTGGTGAGATATGAACGAACTAGAATCCCGGTTGAAATCAGTCCGAATTCTGCTCAAGTTAACAAGATTTCGATTAATTAGAAATCGTGTTTGCTTAATCAGAATCTTGTTAACCTGAACACAAGATTCTGACGACTTTAGCCGGAGTTCTGGTTTGCTCATATTTCACCAGAATTCTGGTTAATCCAATCGAGTTTTATTTTCCGTACATACCACGTGAGCCGTCAATATTAGATTTCTTTTCTTCGGCGGATTGTTTGCTTCTGCTAATTAGTACTCGAGAATCCATAGTAAAAGTGTCCACTGCAAAATTCGATGTAATTATTCGTGGCTTTTCAGAAAAATCGCCCTGGTAGTCCAAATTGTGTAATGTGAGAAAGGAAAGCTTCCAATAAATTTTTGGTGCGCCTTAAGCTACCAATTGACAAAATTTTCTTTATCAAGCGATTGACATCTTTTCTGATCTCTCTATTTCAACGAAAGGATTCCGACTACATTGTGGCTTCTGGGATGATCTCGTGACGCTTGAACATCCTACATTTGAATATTCCCCGGCACGTAAATATTGACGGTACTCACGGTGTAAGACAACAGCCTCTTCTGCCTCCCGTCATGCAACGATCTACTATCTTACACGTAACTTCGAAGGCGGCTCTCTACAGCCAAGTCTGCGAAACCGCACTCTCGTAATCTTAATCGCGGAACTGTTTTCTAAGGAACACACCGACTATTTCGTACGTAATTTACTCTTACTCTTTCGTAAGTAAAGATCGCCCGATCAGGCGAGTCTCGTAGTCGTGTACGAAAAGTTCAGAGCAGGATTGGACCAAGTCCATGACTTTTTTTTAAGTATCTTTTATTCTATATGCTGTTTTCTGCCGCAGAGCACTGGGATCGACGGCGTTAGGGAATTCGTCGATGCCACTAATAATGCCGACATCACCGCCGACGCAAGGAAATAAAACGTTTCTTGGCATCGGTAAAGTACACCACAGCGCACGCGACAATGTTACGTTTGAAGTAAACCTCTCGCTAATTACGAAGTTGGTCCACTATTACTCTAAACCCCTCGTATCTCTTATTTTCGCGACTTTCTCTGCCGAGAGAGCAGTCATAAATATCTTTGTTTGCTAACAATATCGCCTACGTCATTAGAGACATGTAAAGACAGTAAAGGTAGGACGATAGATTGAACGATAGCACAGAGTGTGAGGTATCCTTCACACGACAGTACAGTACATAGTATAGTCGTAGGTATACATACATGTGTTACAGATATTATGTAGAGTGTGTCTATGTATATATATCCTTAGAAAAAAGAGAGAAAATCGGAGAGAGAAAAAGGGAGAGAGGAAAAAAGATCCGAACGGGTCTACGGACGACGTTTCCGGTCAAAATGCGGAGAGAAATGGCCCAAAAGGTCGATGCGGTGTATCAATAGGACGGCGCGACCAGCCCCGGATATGACGGCCAAACTCGAGAGCAGAAGAAGACGAAGTTGCAGACCGAAGTCTGCTTCTTTTTCTACGTCGCGCGACTCGCAATGGGGACGACACTGAGATCGCGCCCCCGGCGAAGAATCTCTTTAAAACGCGCACAGTCGCGCATCGCGATTCATTTTTGGTCCGAATATACGAAGGTTTCTATATCGCAGATCGTTGGTCATTTGTCGCGCGTGTACAGTCGACCAATTAAAAACTGCAACGCTTTTCCTCGATGAGTTTTGTAACGGAAGAGAATATCTCCAATAGAAGCATCTATTCTTTTCGATCGTTTTCAGGAGATTCGTACATTTTCCTATTGGATACGGAACGCTTTGCAAAATTCACGTAAAATTCAGGAAAAGTGTTGCGATCTTTGTTCAGCCGCCTGTGGCTAATCGATCGGACGAAAGTCAAAACTATACATACACATGTACGCGTATACATGCATATGTATGTACATACGAGAAAAAACTATAATAGTGTGTATTACTAATAGTGTGTAAAACTATAATAGTGTGTGTCTTGAAGAGAATCGACAACTCCACATTCTCACTAGTTTCAATTGATCGCGCGAGACATCTCAACTAAAGAGCTATCTCGGTACTCAAACATCTCGCGCTCCTACTTCAGCCTTTTGTTTGTTTTTCGTTAAATTTGTTTATACTGGTCCTTGCTGTGCGTATTGCGCATAATTTTGATTTCGCGAACGCGCTGATTATCTACGACGTAACGAAACATCAACGGGAAATTGTCGCGCGCCTCTCGATCGCTCGACAAATAAATAATTCTTCAGTTAGGTCATCCGTTAATGCGCTGATATTTGCCTTGAGAAATAATACCGAGTTCGTTTCTCGATCGCGCTGTTTGTAGATAACTAATACTGATCGGAATCCCGATAAGATCCCAATATAAACATCTTACAATTATCTGCATCTACGACATCTCACAAAATTGGCCCGTTTAACAGTGTACACACTTGACGTATTACACAATTATTATATATACACGCTACATATACCTTGCGGAGAGGACGTTCTATATTCATTACTCTCATCCGTTTCTCTTCTAAATAAAAATTCACATCGTATAAAATTCAATGTATAAATATATAATAAAATTCCGCTGTATAACATATTGCGCGTCTCGTCAAGTAAACGGCGTGCGAGCCTAAACTAAGTGGCGTCAGCTACTAAGTATCAAAACCTAACGGGATAAAAAAACTAACATCAATAATAAATATACTAAGCAAGCGGCGGCCTCACGATAAAAGCGATATAAATACGGATTGCCGAGGTAACAATCGGCTTCCTGACAATCCTCACGTTCGTTCGTTGCTTGTCTTAAATTTAGCGGAAACTCGACGTGTCTTTGATTGTCTCGGACACGTCCGAGATTGATACTCGCAGGTATCGACAGGGGCTGGCCACGTATAACAACGACAACAATCGGTCCTATGAGTGAGGCGTGCTAAAATCGACACAGATTTCGTAGATCTGAATTTTCAATATCGTAAACACAAAAATGCAATATCTCCGGAACGCGGAATAACATGTCTTTTCACCTTCTATTTTTATTAGTTTCTTTTGTTTTCTCACTTTCGTGTGCTCGATTTTTCCGCACTTCCAATTTAAAATGTCTCGCACGTTCGTGCTTTCCGCGATTACGACGTCACGTTATATCGACCGGACGAAATAAGGGGGACTCTTTAGGAGGACGTATATAACGAGAATACTACGAATGTGTCGTAAAAAACAACTAATCACGATAGAGTTAATTGAGTCCCGGTAAGTTCCCCCCGTGTGACAAAGGGGTGCTATCCAATCTCGTGCAAGCTGAACCTGACGAGCGACAACATCGTTATTCGGACGCAGGTCGACGGCAGGATCGTCAGGCTCGGCTTTCCCGCGAGTATCCCCGCAGAATATCGAGTGCGTGATGTCCGCTCGCGGATTCTTTTCACGGAACAACGGCTTTAAGCATGTCACGTTTTGACGCGCGAAATTCAGCTCGCTGGCCTAACCCGCGCGGCGTGCCATCGCGACGAAGGGCAATAAACAGCCGGCCTGTTATCGGCGCCCGGAACGAGAATTTACGACGGGGAGGAATGGGGGAGGAGGAAAAATCTAGAGCGGATACACGTTTGACGAAACCCGATTGCCTCGGTATTCGGGTTAACGACGTTACCGAATTGTTAACAATATTATCCAACGTATATTTAAACGCGGCTTTATACCTGTATCGAACGCGGATTTTATTTAATTCTTTTTTTTTAATTTCTAAAAGTCATCCTTTGGGAAACTCGCTGAAATTATTTCACTTGTATTTGGAAACAGGGAGACAGAGAGAAGGAAAGAGAGAAGAAGAGAAAAAGATCTAAATAGATAGAGAGTACAATAAAGTAGAGAGAGAGAGAGAGAGAGAGAGAGAGAGAGAGAGAGAGAGAGAGAGAGAGAGAGAAAGAGAGAGAAAGAAAGAGAGAGAGGAAGAGAGAGGGAAAGGGAGAAAGAGAAAAAGAGAGAGAAAAAGAGGAAAGAGCTTAGATATTTAGGTATAAATATAAAGATAAGATAGGAGGAAGAGATAGAAAAACGGTAGAGAAGAGATAAGTAGAGAAAGATAGAAATAGAGAGATCTCGCGTCATTGTAAATCCTCGTCGACGACGCTGCGACGCGAACGAGTGCTGAGGTACGTGTAGCACTTTTGATTACGTTTGATTAATTATTCCCAGTCGCTCCGCCGGTTTTCTCTTTTATTTGTTTTTTATTTATTTTCATATATATTTTTCCCATTCGCTCTCCCTCGTTCGGCGGAGGCTCGAGCGAACGTACCGCTGTGCGACACGCCGCTGCGGCATGTCGGGGTGTGCAACCCCGGGTGAATAACCGATTTCGAACGGCCGCGCGCGAGGAGACCGCGTCCTCGCGAAATAAAAAATCGATCAGCCGTAGTCTGCGCACCTCCGCACTCAAAAAGAAATGGTCCTGCAACAAAAGCGATCTAGATACGAGAAATTAGCCGATAAACGAGTAGCAAACTCTGCAAAATCGTACTTAATAAATATGGATGACAAAGAGACGGAATTTCTATTTGCGCTACTTATGTAATTTAAGAGGTTATTGACAAAAGTTATCCATTTTGGTAACTCATATTGATAGTTTTTATCACTTCAATATTGTCAAGAGCATTATTTCTGCAACCCATCACTTAGTGGTCTAGATTAAGAGACGTTGGAAACAGGTGTTATTGGCAGAAAATTGAACTAGATATGTGTTATACTATTAATAACAACACTGTCAATAACAAAAGTTTTATCTTGACTTGACTGATTGTATTATAAGAATTGTCAAATTTGAGTGTAACACGTACTCGCTAATGACAGTGTTATTAGCCGTTTAAATTTTCCCGACTTTGTTAAAAACACTTGAGCATATCATTTTTGCTAATAACATTGCTATTAGCAGTTTAATCATGGTGAATAATACTTCCAACTTTGTCAATGACATTTATGTTTTCCACACCGTTAAAAATATACTTTGCTGAAAACATTCAGGGTGTCGTTTTCTAGAAAATACGGTTTTGCTAAAAGACTTGTCATTAGCTTATTAGAGCTATTAACATTGTCATTTTGTAAGTCGGTCTTTAAAATTCTATCTGGATCAGCGAGATATTTTCTTGAGCACGCGGCATTTGCGCGAGATCACGGCGACTCGCGGAAACTAACGAGACGAACGATCGCACGTAAAAGGGCCGATTAGAAGCTGAATATGCTCGACCGAGCAAAACCAGGATGGCGATTCAAAGCGTCGGAGGCGCACGTGTGCGCGGGATTATGGATAATCGGCACTTACGCACATGCCTTGGCCACGTATCACGTATTCAGGACACGCCGGATCGGTCACATCCGGGGCACACACTCCAAGCAAGCGAGCAAGCAAGCGAGCAAGCAAGCAAGCTCGCCCACCCGCGGGATTTCAGCGCGATCGCCCTCCACCGACGACGCTTCCCCGCGCGAACAGCTCCCGGTCGGTCGAGCGGTCGGACAACGAGGACTCGAGGACGCTCGGGATCATCCCCGTTTACGGTTTTATCACTTGAACGCTTTGCTATTGAGTGTCTCGGTGTACGTCCTACTGTTTATGCATACATACTTACACAATACAACTATCGCGAACCGTCGGATTAATAAAATACCTATACGCCTGTTGTGTCTTCGTTTTGTTTTCTTTTTTCTTTTACTCTTTTTTTCCTTTTTTTTTTTGTTTTCCTTACAAGCTTGTTTGTCTTCTTATGCATCTCCGTGGCTGCGGTCGGAATTGTTTTCTTTCCCTTCTTTTCTTCTTTTTTCGTTTCATTTTGTTTTTTCGGAAGCTCCTTGCGAGTTCGACGGATCCGAGAGCAAACAGCGACGGGGTTTTACTTTCAGCGCGGAGTAAATTGGGGAAACTCGTCCGGGAACAGCCTCACGAGCAACACGATTGCAATTAACTTATTTTGGGGCCGATCGCGGAGACCTCTCGTCGCCTTTGCTGTTGGATCTATCATATTCGTTTGCTATTAAATCGATCGTATTATCTCTTTCTTCTTCTCAGCCCCTCTGTCTTTTTTCCTCTCTCTCGAGGACTTCTATTCTTAGCTACACTTCTGCTACATGTAAAATGATGCAAGTTTTGTGCGTGAAGAGCAAAGGTAGAAATTAACTGTAGGAAGATGTAGAAAGTGCAGCTAAAAGTTTACTTTTTGGCAATAACTTTAGCAAACTCAATCGCAGCAGACATTGGCAGACAAAATAAGAGGCGCAAATAAATACGTACTGATCGATCGACAGAAATTCAGCCACGCAGCGTGTTCTGTCAGCTATGGCTCGATGGGAATAACTCAAGGATACTCGAGGATAGATCGCAACGGGAACGCAAAAGAGAAAAAAAACTGATTGATAATTCCAAAATATTTATTAAAATAAAATCCTCAAACACGATGTTGACTCGGCGGGCGGAATCCTTCAAAAGCACAATCGAGAGTGAGTAAATTACGGTCTAAAATTTGTCGTTACTATTGCCGCAGCGTCAAATCTGAACCCAGTTACTGTTACAAAAAAAGAAATAAACGAACTACTAAGTGTCTTTTATGTTAATGGGTCAGAAAGCAACTAATTACTTTCGTTGTAAAGTACTTACCTAGATGACGAGTGAGAAACAATGGTCACACATAAATTACGAGCAAGCTAATGATCTGCGAACCGGAGCTCATGTCTGACGCCGCCGCAATAACTGAAGTTAAAGTCAACGAGTATATTTCTCAAAATGATTAATTACTTTGGCCAGATCGACTTTCGAATTTTGGTCCTGAATCATTCTTGTAATAAGAGCAAACAGAAATGAAAAAAATACCAAATATCAAGAGGAAAATTCTCGTTTCGGCCATGAGTACATAAAACAAATTAGATGATATTAACACGAACAAACACGATTATTTGTCCGAGTATTTTTGAGTGCGCGATACTCGAATACGAAATTTATTGTTTAGAGGATACGCGTTCAGTAAACGCTTCTGTTGATTTCGTTAGCGAAATTCGCTATGCATGAAATGTTTACACTTATTACAAGAAATCCTTTTTTCCATTGTCCACAGTAAGTACGTATAAATCAGTATTTATATTGTACAATAAAAAATAAATTAATTCAACGTACTCTATCGCAACGAAATATTGAGCGAAAGTATAATTAACGTAACATAAGTTAACTGAAACGTCGTTCTCTGATGAGTATTTTGCAAGTATATTCCTCTTAATTCCGAGGTTAATACCACAAATCTAATTGAGTTATTTCATTAATGTTAAATGTAATTGAGAGAGATACATATGTGTGTGTGTGTGTCAGGCAGCCGTATTAACATATCAGATCAAATGGAAGCAATTCTTGCGGGTCAAAGAAGAAAATTCATATTTCATGACGAAAGACAAGGTAGACGAGTAAACCAATTTCTTCCATCGATTCGATGTCTCGTCCGGGAGAATAACGCCGGCTCTCCCCGGTTTTCAGATCGATGACGATCCCAGCAGAACGTCATGTCTCGCGAGAGCTTCCGATTCGTTACTGCAGTTGCACCGCGGTTCGTGACATCTAAATCGTAAGAAAAATCGACGCACAAGCTACGTCGCAATCCGACACGACTGCAGAAAAGAGAAAGAGGGGAAAAAAGAAAGTGAGGGAGAAAGAGAGAAGGAGAGAATCCTGTCGCGAGAGCGTGAGCAGACGAGCCGAGCCGCGCCAATAACCATTAATGAGCAATCCCAGCCGGACGATTTGCCTTTCCTTTCTTTTAGATTTATGCTTGTGCATTTTACAGTGCGGATTCGAGTCGAGGTACCGCGGGATTGACAGGTAATGCGATCATCGGTGCGACCGGCCCGTTACGACGATTCACCATCCGCCGCGCTTTCGTAATACTGAGCAGCAGCCGTTAATTACTTTGTCGCACATGTCGTTCCTAGATTAGGTTATGCGTGCGGGCCACGTGTGTCGCACACGTGTGAGCGCGCCTCCGCGGCAGCCCGTAAGGTACGCTTTTATAGACGCAATGACATCCTCGTTTAAGAGCACCTTGTAACATTGTCCTAAAATCACGCGCTGGACAAATTTGCGCTTCTAACTGTAACAGGAGGCGAAAACAATGTCTTCCTTCTAGCGTTTCTTTTTTTTTTTTTTATAAAAAGCCGACTAATAGTGTTACAAAACGTTAGCGATAAACGAGTCCGAGTCGTCGTCATGTGTGTTGGTTTGTTCGTGTGTGTGTGTGTCTGTGTTTGTGTGTTCGTCTGAGGTATTTCTGCTGGTCGCGTTTTCATCATGTCGCTAAAACGTGCGCGACGGCCCTGAAATCTCCCTAAACCACACTCCGACTGACGAAAGTTAGTGTGTTGAATGTAAAACTCAACGCCGATCGCAGAAGCCACTGTGATGTCGACTTGGACTCCAAAAATTTAGAATGTTGTGATCTCGCGCGATTTTTTCTTTTTCCTATTTTTTTTTGTTGTTTTTTGTTTTCCTTTTTTTCTTCAAAGCGATATCGTATCGAGAATCGTTCCGTCTAAGTGATACTCAGAGTACATAGTCCGCCCGATTCGCATAACTGGTTGCCCCGCGCAAACTGCCGTGCCCTCGATCAAAGGCAGTGAATACCAAGAGGAGAACGCTTCACACCCCATCCTCGAAAGTGACATGTCGCGAGAAGTCGTATTTCTTCCGACTATGTATATACACACATACACACACATAGATATATATATATATACATATAAATGTATAACACGCAACGTTTATTATCGAGATATCCGAAAGTTCATCGAGAAGAAGCGGATTTCACGACGTGAGATCCTCCAGAGAGCCGTTGAATCACTCTCGGGTGAAAGTTCAAATATTCCGACGTCATAACAACGCACACCGGATCAGAAAGGAGAACACGAACTCTCGCGTCGTGCAATTTTCGAAGGCGAAGGTGCGATTTACATTCGAACGAAGGCCGCGACGCGACTCGCAACGGGGGCGCATCTAATTTTAACGTTCGTCGCGCTACCTAACTAACGGCTTAACAACGGTAAATATGTTTCTGCTGGTATTCAATATAACATTGTTCTTACGCTGACAAGATGGCTACCAGTCCGCTAACGATTTGCATTGTTGTCCCGACTGACGACAATCTCCAAATCTCTCCCCCCTGTCTCTCGCGCGAGAGCGCGACGTTCGGGCGAAAAGGATCGAAACAAATAACGACCCGCGAACGACACTCGGAACACCCTCGGAGAATCTCCGCGCAAAATTTAGAGTGTACAATAAACGTCTCTCGGAGTTTCGTTAAAGCACATTTTACACTCTTTACCGCGAGATATCTCCTCGGATGCCGCGCGTCGCCGGAGCTCGCGAAAAACCGTAAAAATGCCGTGCGACAAAATTCATTTGACGATTCTGGAAAATCTGACGGAATACACGGCGTCACGCTCGTATTGGCTCGCGAGAAAAATAATACGGGACTGCTCTAATTGCTATTTCGCGACTCACTGAACAGCACTCTATAATTATGCTGCATGTAGCTTTCAGGAGTCAGTGATCCGCGACAGGAGGAATTGATGAAGCGTTTGATCAACAACTGCGCGATGACGAGCGGCCTGTGAATCGAAGTAATTATTGTTCGTTTATACTGAATTCTCGATAAATTACTCGTTTATGTCAACTCTCGAATTATTTAAAATGCCGGCGTGCAAACGGCGGCAAAGGCTCGCGATGAGAATTCGATCGGGTTCCCTGTAGAAAATTTGCAGTCGAGAAAATTTTGAAGTATATTTCGCAACGACAGTTGGCAGAGAGAGGAGCGGGGAGGAGGAGGAGGAGAGAGAGATTCGTAGATCATCGAGAGTTGCCTGAGATCCTAGATCCTACCGCTAATATCCGTGTTTTGTACCCGGCTTTGAAGTCTAAGTTATTCATTAGCTCTCTCGCTACATAGCGTTCACGCCGGTGTGAAAAGACTTTCCAAAACAGGTTTTCGATAGAAATTCAATTCCACCACGATTTTTACACACGATACTGCTTCTCGCTTTCTTCTCTTTTTTTCTTTTTTTTTTTTTTACTTTTCTTCGCGTGCTACACTGCTTTCTTAGTTGGTTAAAATGCGTATAAAGTGCACTAGACGATAAATGCACGTGGGATGAATCGCGCGATTCATTTGCGTGATCGGTGATTCATTTAACTCTTGTCAATTTGTATCTCTAGCAATTTACTGTCAGTTATATTAATGTAACAATTTGTTCGCGCTCATAGGCGATGACGTTCGCGCCTCTTCCGAGATCGAATAGACCCGGCGACCCAGACCGAGGGCAAATCGCGCGTAAACGGCGTGATCCGACTGACCCATACGCGTGTCTGCCTCCCTCACACGTTATTGCAACGATAAAAAATGCACTATGTCTCCGAATTCTACTAGAAACCGAGGCGTAGTCACGCGATATCGAACCGACCGCGGCTATCACGGCCTCCCGCCCATCTGCTGCCGGTCGGACTGTCGCGCACATATATCGGCGCGAAACAAAAACAATATTTACAGTGGATCGCGGACTCGACGGTCGCTCTCGCGCGGCGCTAAGCCCGAGCGAAGATTAATCCTGGAAAATGCGTCGCGGGTGAGGACTGAAAACCCGACGACCGCCAAGTCGATCTGTTCTGTGTCGCGCGACTACGCCGGCAATTGTCGCTGGCTCCTGCTCAGGTGCGCGTTCGCATTCTTTTCTCCCTTCCTGCCCGCGAGGTCCCGCGGGGTCCTCGCGAAAATCGATCTGACGTCGAAGACACACACCCCCCCCCCCCCCCCCCCCCCCCCCCCCCCCCCCCCCCCCCCCCCCCCCCCCCCCCCCCCCCCCCCCCCCCCCCCCCCCCCCCCCCCCCCCCCCC